ATTAATGTAAACATTTAGGCTGACATGAACCCTTCACATGAATGCATCACCAGGTGATTAAGTATGTTAGTGACCTGACCTTCACATGCTTCAGTCTATGTCCCCGATGCCATGCTAGATGTCATTTAATTGTACCATATACAGCAGATTTCGCTTAATATCACTTCTTAGTTGTTAGAGGGAAACACAATATTAACTGCAATGTGAATTGAAGAGAAAACATGTTTTTCTGACCTTTTTAGCTGCCAAAACCTGCAGGTGACCATATTTTAATGTCTATGTGATATGGTTTTATAAAGAATATTGTTTAGTAAAGATATTTGTAACTGACCAGCTTTTTTTCTTTATTAACAGTGATCTTTTAGTTGTTTATTTCATCAAAATATGCAGCTAAAACAGTTGCTGAATTCAGGAGCCTTACGATAATTAATCCTGATCAAATAGCCTGCTAGTATACATTCTGTTCTGAATTCAGGAGCATTACGATAATTAATCCTGATCAAATAGCCTGCTAGTATACATTCTGTTTTGAATTCAGTCGTAAAGCACGTCATGTTTGTATATATTTACCTTAATCTTTTAAAAGATTTCATATTAGAAACATCCTTGTAAAATTATATGCTACAATCATGCAAGCATTAGGTTTGAAGTTTACATTGTTTTTTGTGAGTACTGAGAACATGAATGACAGAGTATGTTGTTATGAACTGTGAATTTTTGTAACATGACGTTTCGTTGGATGAAGTGTCATTGCATATTTCTATAGACCAATATTATAATGCATTAACATAGTGCCCTATGTAAATTGTAAAATTACTCCAAGGAGATTTACAACACATGTATGATAGTATCCCTACTGTGACAGTTATAAAAAAGTTTATAAAAATGGCATTCAAATTAGTATTATACATAAAGTAACAAGACATTTATCTCGATGTGCATATAAATACATATATATAAAAGGTGGTGTGTACAAAAAGCCAAAATGCAGTCGTGAAGAGGTGGGTCATTATATACTTCTTGAATTTAGTCAGGGTTTTTGACTTTCTGATAGCAGATGGTAAGCAAGTGGCCGAAACCGTTCCAAAGAGTCAGTTTCCGTTGGTCACAATATGAGATTTTGGGACACACAACAATGATTCTGTCTCTGACTGCAGTGATCATGACAGCTGATACAGGATGGCAAGCTCCTGGCAATACTGAGGAGCTGTTCCATTCAGTGTGCACACCAAAATTTTGTACTGCCACCTGTATTGTACAGGTAACCAGTGCAAAGAATGTAGCACAGGTGTGATGTTCTGTCTCTTCCAAGTATGAGAAAACAGAGGTGGTGCAGTGTTCTGAATCTTCTGCAGACAACTAGTTAGCTTGGCAGATCACATACCACAGAGCAGGGCATTACCATAGTCCAATACCAAGCGGTACCAAGTGAACGAACCAATATCTTGCAACATGCATCTTCAGTTATAAACTGACGGACACAGCCCATGTTCCTGATCTGGTATTAACAGGATTGGCAATAGTGTTCACTTGTTTCTCCATGTTCAGTGAACTATCAAAGTATACCTCTCGGTTTTTAACAGCTGGACAGTTTCAATAGATCTGGCACCGACCTTGAGCTGGAGAGCCAATGTTTGCTGACACTTTTCCTGATTAAGCTTTCGCATGTTGGCGTTTCATCCAGGTACTGATATCTGTCAGACAAGCATCTAGATTTTCTGATAGGGTATCCAAACTGTCCTGTCGTTTGGGTGATGGGTGTCATCAGCATAACAATGATAGTGAAGGCTATGGCGCAACAAATCTCTCTGATTGGTGTTGAATATTTTCATGGTCCTAACACCGACCCTTAAGAAACCCTGAAATCTAGTATTTTGTCATGTGAGTAGGTAGATCCTATAGCAACACACTGCCGTCGCTCACTCAAATCTTCTCACATCTTGTCCAAGATCTTAAGACAGAAAAGGCAGATTTGATACTGGGTGGTAGTTCTTCAACTCCTCATTGTCCATTCCAGGCTTCTTCAGCAGTGGTCTAACATGCGGCTTCTTGAAACACAATGGAACCTTTGACTTGGCCAATATTCTGTTCGTAATGGAGGTAATCAAAGGAAGTAGCGCTTCAAGACATTGTTTTAACAGGTTTGTGGGAAGAGGATCAGGACTTTGATTGTGACTTCTTGATGATATTGCGCTTTACCAATGGTTCTCAATCAAATTTAATGTCAGCAGCCATGACAGAGATATCATTGTCAGCAGTAGAGTTCACTTCGCCAATATTTTTCCTGATCTCGCTGATTTTATTCAGAAAGTTATCACTGAGCTTGCTTGACAAGTCTTTTTCTGAAGTACGGCTTGGTAGGAGGATTTCACCTTTCTGACCACGTTCTGCGATTCTTTCCAAATAATAAACCTTCTTGGATTGAATAGAAAGTGAACTAACTAGCCAGTATTGATCCCTATAAATATGTTGGTGAACGGTCAAATTAGGTTTGCCACTGTCTCTCTGCTTTTCTGCAGTTCTGTTTTTCCACCGAGAGATTTTCATTACACCCAGGGGCATTTGATCTCACAGTTACCACCCTAGTCTGTAGAGGTGCATGCTTCTCTATAACCCCTCTATATCAGATATGTATGCTTCAGCAAGATCATCAACACTACTTTCAGTAAATTGAAAGGCAGAAGAAGACTGAATGTCATTAATGAAATCTGGTATGGAAATTTCATGGAATTTCCAGAAGCTTACCTCCTTCCTTGCAGGATCTGGCTTACTACAATTCAGTGTTACTTGGACAACAAGATGATCACCAGATTGGTTCTCCTTAACATCACTTAGACATGGATCCATTGTCTATTGTAGCCATACATTAGCTTCCAACATAAGAATATGTACACAACAGGGCTCTTAGTTTTATCTGTGTTTTACAAGTGAAAAAAAGAAGAAGACGAATATGATTCTAAAGTTAACACAGTGTTTTACATATTTTCAAATTGGTTACCAGGTATGCTCCATGAAAACCCCAGCTATCTTCACTTGTAATGACCACATCTAGTGTGTGGCCATGGATGTGTGTTGCTTCTGTCACATGTTGTATCAGACCCTGGGAATCGAGCAGCCCAGAGAACTGACAAGCATCAGTATTAGATATATTATCTAAGTGAAATTTTTACGTCACCCCTGATAATAATATCTTGTGGTACAACAAGCCGGTGGTCTAAAAAGGAAGACCACCCATCAAAACACAGTATTTCGGAAAGCATTCTGTTTAAATGGAGGAGGCCTGTAAATGATACACAAACTTAATTGTTTATCCCCAGCAATGACACAGCAATTCATGTGCTCAAAGTGTGTGTATACATCATCATGGCTGCGAGAGGGATGTCTCACACCTAGGCCTTTCTTAAACAGAACAGCCACCCCACCACTACTTCTGAGGAGTCTAGCATTGTGAAGGAATTCATAGCCTGCTGGTATTGCCTCAGCTAATACCTGGTCATCGATATCTGAACCTAACCAGGTTTCTATAAAATGCAAGAATATCAATGTTCTGAGATGTTCAAAAATCCCTGATGGACAGTGACTTATTCTTCACTGAGCTACAGTTTAATGACACTAAATTCAGAGGAATAATTACTGACTTACAATGACCAGCTGTTGTTGGCTTGATGATAGACAGGTTCTCGTATGATACTGATGTTGTCGGAATCCATGTGAAAGTATCACAACTAGAATGCACAATAGAATTGCATGATGCCTGATACTTCTGTAGGTGCAGTATATCCATGCAAGAAAGTGTGTTAGGCTGACAGACCATTTGTGGTTGCCAACAAAATGAGATTATCAGTGTTCAGGCCTGAGTGGTTACAGACACTAGTCTTGTTAGATGTAATGCCAATAACAGGTGGTATTTGCCTGACAGTGAGCACCCTTTCCTGCCCGTGTCCAATGCCTTGTGCATAACTTTTTGGCTTTTGAAGACCTTCCAAAAACGTCCGAAAAACGTCCTTACTCATACTGAAATATGTTGCACACCTCGTGAGCCATAAATCTCACACATTCGAAAATAGTCTCCCTCCATCCCACGCGAAGCCATAAATCGGCAATTTATAGCTTGGACCGTACAAAGGGAAACAACTCCTATTGCAATGTATACATAATAATATCCTGTTGTTACAATAAACTTTAAATTCTATATATATTAAAGTATATTGTAACTTGTAACTTATGCAATCAGATGCTGTGAAACACTGGAAAAGAATGAGTCGTTAGATTTTTTTTATTATGACATAGCTGCCCATGGCATGCTTTGGTTTAAGTGTAGCAGTGCTGAAAGTTCCCCGTTCTTATCAAATTTTGCAATTCAGTCAAAAGCTATACTTTATGTGGAATGAACTTTGTGTTTGAAAGTCATATCTTTTATTTTGTTTTTTTACATTTATAGTCTTGTAAAGTAAACCTATCGGCACGCAAATCAGTTTCACACTTGTTGGTACAGGGTTTGGTGTACAGGATAATTAAAAAAAATAAAAAAATAAAAAAATGTTGCAAATTGTGTGAAACTTGGCTACGGTTTAATTATTTGGAGGCTTTTTAGTTGAAAGAAAATCCATTCTGTCATAGGCCTACGTAACAGACACCTAATGTTTATCTCAAGACTTGAGCAGTAAAGATGAAATGAACACATGCGTTTCGATACATAAGTGATTTAGTTTGAACTCAGATGGACATATCAGACTTGAAACTGGTCGTCATGCCAACTGGTGGACCTTACAGGTAAGTGGGGTCCATCTATCATTCGGCAGTCAGCCATGTGTGAAAAAGACACCATAAGGTTTTGACGTTGTTTATGTAACGCATCCAGGTGTGATACCAGATCCAAAACAAGTGATAATAACAAAAATTGAATTACATAAATTATATAGCAGAAAAACGTTGCATCAAGAAAACATGATAATAACTGAAAAATTACATTTAATGACATGATATTAAGTGAAAAGTACCTAGATTTTGTTTGAGCCACTGGTGACCTTCAGTAAGCTGTGAAAGCATGGCTGCATAGTGAGCTGTGGCCTCATCAGTCATCACCCAGCCACCGGTCACTATCTCCAGCTGACCACTACTCAACACTCTGAAACATTTTATACAGTCATGTTTTGTTTGTGTAGAAATCATTGTCTATTGTAGCCATACATTAGCTTCCAACATAAGAACATGTACACAACAGGGCTCTTAGTTTCATCTGTGTTATACAAGTGAAAAAAAAAGACGATTATGAATTTTTATATTTTTTCAAATTGGTTACCAGGTATATAACTTCACAGGTTAAGCTTAAATATTATTAAAATCACAGATTTATATATTTCACTTTGTATCTTAACCAGGAATTTAGTACGTCTATGATAGGCAAGCAATCTACACTAACAAAGGTTACACCACATTAATAGTCTACACTAACAAAGGTTACACCACATTAATACTAACTTGTTCAGCTTGAGCTTCTTGTCAGCAGAAGCTTCTGACCACCACCTAGCCAACCAGATGACATCAGACCAAATGAACGTCCAGTCAGGATGACCAGTTAGTTTGTCCACAACTAGATCCAGAGTTGAGGAGGTGTAGTAAGTGTAATACTGGTCAAATGTCTTAAGCCAACCTGCAAATTGATAGTCATTCCTTTATTTGTTCTTCACATAAAATATGATTTCAATTTTGTTATAAATGTTCCCCGATGTGAATTCATTTTTTTATAAAAAACAACAGATTGGAATTTCCAGCTTGAAAATTAAAAAAATGTTTGCTCCAAATGGAGAGTTCTTTTTACTGCAAGTAATATAAATCAAAGTAAATGTTATCAGTGTACATGTCACTAGCTGGCACATATACAGTTATGTTATATGGTATCAACAGAGATATTAAATGCAGCATTACATTTACACTGTTACAGGGTAATTCTATTACTGCACTGAAACAGACAAACATATACGCGACGGCAATGAAGTGAATGTTTTTGTCACCACACCTTGGACTGCAGCCACCCAGATCTAACTAGAACTGTAAGCCAAAGGCTAACTTATACCCCCGATCCTATATAAACCAGAACTGTGCGCTAAAGGCTTACTTATGCAAAGCAATATAGTCTCCACCAGTAATGAGTTGTGGTAATCACTATTTTATTAAAAACAAAAAAACAAAATAACCAAAAAATAAACAAGTATTTCGCACAAAGAGGCATAACTCCATCAAAAAGGGTCGAAATCCCAAATTGAAATGCCGGTGCACAACAACATAAGATACTGATCATTCATGCAAAGTTTCAATGAAATCCACCTGTTCGTTAAGGAGAAGTTGCGCGGACAAGTTACTGCAGACGACAACAAGTTACTGCAGACGACAGACAGACATCCAGACAGGATGATTCCAGTATACCCCCCCCCCNCCCCCACTTCCTTGCGGGGGTATAAAAAGCTAGTTCAGGGAAGATAACAAGACAGCAACTTGTACTCAAATACTAATTGCTAGTTTTAAAACTATTTTGACCTTTTTTTTGTTGAAACATAATAACACCTAAATCAGCCGAAATCAGAACCACACAAAACTGGAAGTTTTACCTGTCAGTAAACATGCACAAACAAAGATATGACCATTCTTTAAAAACAATCCCTGAATTTTATCAACCTTCACAGAAAGTATTCTCTTTCGCTGTTTACACAGTTGTATAGGAAATAACTAACTCAAACATTCCAATGACTCATGAAGAGGTTTGTAAACCACAAAAGACTGTGTCTAATGTCATACAGTAAATCTACACACTGCAGTGCTATGATGTCATACAGTAAATCTACACACTGCAGTGCTACGATGTCATACAGTAATTAATCCACACACTGCAGTGCTACGATGTCATACAGTTAATCTACACACTGCAGTGCTACAATGACATACAGTAAATCTACACACTGCAGTGCCACGATGTCATACAGTAAATCTACACATTGTAGTGCTACAATGTCATACAGTAATTAATCTACACACTGCAGTGCTATGATGTCATACAGTAAATCTACACACTGCAGTGCTACAATGTCATACAATAATCTACCCACTGTAGTGCTACGATGTCATACAGTAATTAATCTACACACTGCAGTGCAACAATGTCATACAATAATCTACACACTGTAGTGCTACGATGTCATACAGTAATTAATCTACACACTGCAGTGCTATGATGTCATATAGTAAATCTACACACTGCAGTGCTACATTGCCATACAGTAAATCTACACACTGCAGAGCTTCAATGTCATACAGTAAATCTACACACCGCAGTGCTACGATGTCATACAGTCAATCTATACAATGTAGTGCTACAAGGTCATACAGTAAATCTACACACTGCCGTGCTACAATGTCATACAGTAAATCTACACACTGCAGTGCTACGATGTCATACAGTAAATCTATACAATGTAGTGCTACAATGTCATACAGTAAATCTACACACTGCAGTGCTACGATGTCATACGGTAAATCTACACACTGCAGTGCCACGATGTCATACAGTTAATCTACACACTACAGTACTACGATGTCATACAGTAAATCTACACACTGCAGTGCTACGATGTCATACAGTAAATCTACACACTGCAGTGCTACAATGTCATACAGTAAATCTACACACTGCAGTGCTACGATGTCATACAGTAAATCTACACACTGCAGTGCTACAATGTCATACAGTAAATCTACACACTGCAGTGCTACGATGTCATACAGTAAATCTACACACTGCAGTGCTACAATGTCATACAGTAAATCTACACACTGCAGTGCTACGATGTCATACAGTAAATCTACACACTGCAGTGCTACAATGTCATACAGTAAATCTACACACTGCAGTGCTACGATGTCATACAGTAAATCTACACACTGCAGTGCTACAATGTCATACAGTAAATCTACACACTGCAGTGCTACGATGTCATACAGTAAATCTACACACTGCAGTGCTACAATGTCATACAGTAAATCTACACACTGCAGTGCTACGATGTCATACAGTAAATCTACACACTGCAGTGCTACAATGTCATACAGTAAATCTACACACTGCAGTGCTACGATGTCATACAGTAAATCTACACACTGCAGTGCTACAATGTCATACAGTAAATCTACACACTGCAGTGCTACGATGTCATACAGTAAATCTACACACTGCAGTGCTACAATGTCATACAGTAAATCTACACACTGCAGTGCTACGATGTCATACAGTAAATCTACACACTGCAGTGCTACAATGTCATACAGTAAATCTACACACTGCAGTGCTACGATGTCATACAGTAAATCTACACACTGCAGTGCTACAATGTCATACAGTAAATCTACACACTGCAGTGCTACGATGTCATACAGTAAATCTACACACTGCAGTGCTACAATGTCATACAGTAAATCTACACACTGCAGTGCTACGATGTCATACAGTAAATCTACACACTGCAGTGCTACAATGTCATACAGTAAATCTACACACTGCAGTGCTACGATGTCATACAGTAAATCTACACACTGCAGTGCTACAATGTCATACAGTAAATCTACACACTGCAGTGCTACGATGTCATACAGTAAATCTACACACTGCAGTGCTACAATGTCATACAGTAAATCTACACACTGCAGTGCTACGATGTCATACAGTAAATCTACACACTGCAGTGCTACAATGTCATACAGTAAATCTACACACTGCAGTGCTACGATGTCATACAGTAAATCTACACACTGCAGTGCTACAATGTCATACAGTAAATCTACACACTGCAGTGCTACGATGTCATACAGTAAATCTACACACTGCAGTGCTACAATGTCATACAGTAAATCTACACACTGCAGTGCTACGATGTCATACAGTAAATCTACACACTGCAGTGCTACGATGTCATACAGTAAATCTACACACTGCAGTGCTACAATATCATAATATACTGGTCCTTATCTCCTATTGTCTGCTCTAAATCATCATGTTCTGTACAGTGACTTGAGTAGTCAAGAGCTTGACAATCTTAAATATATACCCGAATTTAACTGTGTTATGATGCATGGGGTCAAGTACAATGATCACCTACACTTCAGACCTTGGAAACCTTCCCTAAGCCTACCAGAGTGATATTGGTGTCAGGTATAATATGATGTCAGGTATATATTGGTTGGTGTCAGATATATAATGGTTGGTGTCAGATATATAATGGTGTCAGATATATGACGGTGTCAGGTATATGTTGGTGTCAGGTATATGTTGGTGTTAGGTACATGATGATGTCAGGTACATGATGGTGTCAGGTACATGAGGGTGGCTGGTACATGATGGTGTCAGGTATATGATGGTGTCAGGTACATGATGGTGTCTGGTATATGATAGTGTCAGGTACATGATGGTGTCAGGTATATGTTGGTGTCAGGTATATGATGGTGTCAGGTACATGATGGTGTCAGGTATATATTGGTGTCAGGTATATGTTGGTGTTAGGTACATGATGATGTCAGGTACATGATGGTGTCAGGTACATGTTGGTGTCAGGTATATATTGGTGTCAGGTACATGATGGTGTCTGGTATGTATTGGTGTCAGGTATATATTGGTGCCAGGTACATGATGGTGTCAGGTACATTATGATGTCAGGTACATGATGGTGTCTGCAGGTATATGATGGTGTCAGATACATGATGGTGTCTGGTATATATTGGTGTCAGGTACATGATGGTGTCTGGTATATATTGGTGTCAGGTATATGATGGTGTGTGGTATATATTGGTGTTAGGTACATGATGGTGTAGGCATAGAATGGTGTCAGGTACATTATGATGTCAGGTACATGATGGTGTCTGGTATAGAATGGTGTCATGTACATGATGGTGTCAGGTATATGATGGTGTCTGGTATATATTGGTGTCACGTACATGATGGTGTAGGTATAGAATGGTGTCATGTACATGATGGTTTCAGGTACATGATGGTGTCTGGTATATATTGGTGTCAGGTATATGATGGTGTCTGGTATATATTGGTGTCAGGCACATGATGGTGTCAGGTTTATGATGTCGTTCTCTCAGACAGAAACATGATCCACATTATTGACATGACAACATCAACATACCTGGATCCTGGTGGGAGTGTGGTACTATAATTACTTCTAGTGGTTTCACCCTCCAAGTCTTCACCTTGACCACCTGGATCCAGCCACTCACAGAGAAGACGAAGTTAGGGTAATTGATTGGTATATGGTCCCATTCCTTCTCCATCTTGGCAAATCAAAACAGCATACAATTATTGTCCAGCCATGAATAGACATTCTTTAAATTGTATGAATTGTATTAATTGATTATATAAATTGTAGATAGATGTGTATAGTGTCTTATAGTGGCTTAATTTGTTCTAACTACAAGTAGATAATGTGCTGTTGTATCAAATACTGTACATTTTGTAATTGTTAAAATAATAACTTGAAAATTGTCAAAGACATGCTACATGATTTAATTCACCTGAATGTCAACAGGAGCATCTTCAGAAGGACAGGTCGCTTGTGATAACTGTTGCCAAGGGTCTTTATTAGTTGCTATGGCAACCTTTGCATAATCAAAAGACATCCCAGATAAATCCACAACCTGGCAGCGTGAGTTATCTGGTGTCTCCTGTAATGATAAAAACTTATCAGCCTTTGTGAATCAACACCTTCATTCACTTCACAAAGTTGAAATGTTACAACCTAGAGTATCACAATAATCTTAAAGTAAAATCTGAACATGTCTGAGGATACTTCAGCCTCAATTATTTATATGTAGAGGCACTAGACTGGGTCAATTGTCAGTAACTAGGTAGCTCAACTGGTAGAACGTTTGTCCAGAGTTTGGAGGGTCCTAGGTATGAATTCCGGTCTGGTCGTATATTTTTCCACTCCTTTATAAAATTGTTTAATAAGTTAATACCCCTATCTGACCAGAAATTAAAGTTAAAAGGGCCACAAATCCTGGAAATAAGCTAATTCACTAATTCCTTTCTTCACATGAACTTTCACTGTGCCAAGTTATAATAGAGTTCAACAAACAGTTGAAGAGAAGTTGCAATTAAAGTTTTCTTGAGCAGAATTTAAAGTTTAGAGAAACTCCAGGACAAATTTCTTTCTTCATGCACATCTGCAAATTTCATTGTACTAAGTGACAAAAAAAATCCAACAAACAGCTAATTAGGAGTTGCCCTAACAAGGTTTCTAGAAGAGAAATTAAAATTTTCAAGGGTCAAAACTCTTCAAAAAAAGTTGAATCACATATTCCTCTATTCATGTACATCTATAGATGATTATATGTTCTTCCAACAAAAAGTTTAGGAGGGGTTTCACTTACAAGGTTCATGGACAGACAGATGGACAGGGTGATTCATTGATTTCTATATACAACCCTCTACCCCCATACCAAACTTTGTTTGCGAGGGGTACAAAAACTCATTGCCAAAAACTGATGTCTCTATATAAGGATTGCAACAATACATGAACATGACGTTATGATGCGCATGTATCATGATACTGCATTGTCACGATACAAAAATCAATTTATTTATGCATCATACATATAGCAACTGTTCAGAACAGTAGAAGCATGCAAAGAGAAATGATATGTTGCAACCTTTAATGTCAATATTACAACTGGAAAGACTTGGGTCAAAAATGGGTATGACTATAAAGTTTCACACAAATCACATCTTTCGGCGTGCATTCTGACGTGCATTCTGACTTGGAGCTATCACTATAATTCCATGCTGGAACCGACTTTTGAGTAGACTAAATTCAGGAAACAACAAAATCCTGACAATATCATAGGTATATAAAATATAATAGGTATATTGTTTTGTATATTACTGTATTCAAAATATCTTGATATATCATTGCAGCCCTACTATAGAGTCTGATCTTGCACAAAGAGACAGTAAAAAACTCAAATACAGTACACATTTATCACTGATACTCACATGTTGAATATAAGCTATCAGATTGTTTACCGTCATCCTCCCTTTCTCATCACCGAGTAAATACATGACCCACACACTGCTGATAAGGTACAGCCCACAAACACCCGAAAGCAGGTACATCAAGTGACGTCTCTTCATGATTTTACTCAGACACAATTCTTAAAGGCTATGATGAATCCCCACTGACTTTAACCTTTGTATAACATAATCATCAGTCTCAGGAATCATTACACCAACAAGACGAAAACAACAATAAATACCAAAAAAAACTTTCATGCACTAGCTGTCATTTCTCGTGACATCTCCAGTGAAAGTAGAAATCTGTTGTGCACGGTGAATTTTAGAATGAGAAGACTTTATTCTTTTAAACTAAATTTGAATAGATTGCAAAGTGTGTATCTTCCGTTTGTCATCTGCTATCACAAGTATCAACATGCACCTGAGCTAATTTTTTCTGCTGGTAATTATAAGTTATCTTTACAATTGATGCCAGGAATAACTGGAAATATGGAATGTCACTACTGCAGGCCTAGTGTACTGGACGAATGGACACTTAATACCAATATAAGCACGAAGTTGACAAGTCAGTGCGGTCCGAGTCAGTCCTTGTGTGTTAACAGTGTTTTGCCATTTGATTTCATTTGCATCTAGAGTTATCACCCCTTTGATAATGCGATAGGTGGCGCTTTCAGACTACGGAAAATTTGTCAACAAAGATGGCGTACTGGTTCCACAGGAATCCGCTGAAAGCGACTTCAGTGCTTACTTTTGAGTTACGGGGAGTATCAACAGACGACAAGACAAGAAGAATATTTACGTAATAACCTACTTTTAATATGACTACTCTATATCTTCAATTTTGACTTCATGTTTATTTTGAACCACCTGTTTGTCTGACTCAATATGCCAGAAGTCACGAGATCTGTACTAAGGATCTCATCACTTTTCCCTTTTTTTGGCATCATACAAGGATGTTTTATAAGTGATTTTTATCACCTGAAGTTTCATGTGACCAATCGCGATGGGATGTGGTCGCTCAAATCAATTTCTGCACCGCGTTCCGACGCCGTCACTATCGTAGTATCAATTATCGTAAATTAGGAATAAGTAGTAGACTCATTCTTGCCAACTCTCCTCATTAAGGAGGGAGACTCCTGATTTTGGACCCTTAGATTTAGCATCTTCAATCATTGAATTTGCTAAACTATTCCTATTTTCGAAGATCTAATGATTTCATCTGAAAGAAAAACACAAAACATGTCATAAATTATACAGGGAAATCAAAAGTAGCGATGATGTGAAAATACAAAATGACTTGAATAAACTTCAGCAGTGGTCAGCAAGATTGCAACTTAAATTCCATTCGCTACGTACAAAACAGATACCACAACACTAGTTCCGTAACAGACATGATCCACACACTTCAATGGCCAACACTACAAACACGACGCTTATACACTAGAATTATCCTTTTTTACAAAATTATACACAGAATCGTAGCTTTAAACCCAACACATATACTCACACCTGTAGACCCCCGCACCAGACAGGTACACCCGTACGTATACAAATACATATCTGCTACAAAGGACACCTACAAATACTCATTCTTCCCACACACAGTAACATAATGGAATCTCCTCCCCTTAGCAGCAGTCCAATGCACAACACTAGAGGACTTCAAGGCACACTTACCCCACACAGCCCTTGAAGCCCTCATCACACACTAGTACATACACCAGATTTTAACTTTTTATCTATACCTTGCACAAAAAAAATCACAAAAAAATAAACCCCCACCCCTAATCACTATAAATAACTTCTTCACGCCTCTACAATAGGACCACCGATGGCATAATCATCAAACTGATGGAGCCCTCATATATAAAGAAGAAGAAGAAATGCAAAGTTGTCTCGATGAAATAGAAAAAAAATGTCAGGAACAGAAGGCCAACAAGTACAATTCGAGAGTATAGCATGATGATTAACATCTGAAAAAGTATCGCTGTTATTTATAAACTGTGGATGAAAATTTTAGAACCCATTATATCTAACTCGGTGTGAAAAAATCAAATAGTATTGTAGGACTCATCAGGAGAACATTTATTTAGCTTGATGAAAACATGTTTAAATTATTTGAAGGTACTTGTTAGACCCCCACCTGGAATCAAGTGTATGGAGCCCAATTACATTTAGTGAAAGATATGTGTACTGAACTTATCGAAAATGTCCAGAGGAGAGCTACAAAACTCATACCTGGTTTTAAACATACACTGAATGCTGAACGAATATTTAACCTCCCAAATTTGAAGCACCGTCAGACCAGAGGGGACCTAATTAACGTTTTCAAAATTTTAACTAACATTTACAATGAAAGAGTCACTTCAAACATGTTCTAAATGGAAACCATTAACAGGACAAGGGAAAAAACTTTTTTAAAAAACAATGTTGCCTAGAGAGTAGAAAAAAACTTCTTCAGCTTTTGCATGATAAACATGGAATAGCTTTAATTTTACCGCAGCATGTCATTGACGCAGCTGATGTTAAACTGTAATATTTCGTTGGACGATCATTGGAAACGAGAAAATAATACAGCAAATAACTATGCAACGAATTGTGGCATTTAAAAAAACATGGACATTAATTGCACACCAGAAGTTAACATAATTTATAACTTTAATGATGTTTTGATAAGAGATATAGGGCTTTTAGTCTGCGTCCATTATGTATCTTATTAAATCGTATCGTATTAAAAGTCTTTTAAAAGGGTTATATATAGACTATCGGCAAGTTACTTCATCAATTTTAGTACAAATATCATGAAATTATAGATATTTTTCTAAAACATCTATTTCGTACCGATTAAGTTGTGGTTGAAGTCCATTTCAGTGCTTATTTTTTCTAAGACATGTAACATTATATGTGACCTCTTAATCGTTGAATCAATTTCAATTTAATATTCAAGAAACTTTATCCAGTGTCGTTATTTAGTTGGAAAGCAAACAAAATATTCAGTAGAGCTATTTTTATGACGAATACATGTTTAAAATTAGTTAGTACCATTCACACTAAATTCAGCAGCATCCAACATAAAGGAAATGCTTATACATACCCCGAGTGTCCTCTGGTCCTGACACCAGACTCAGATGTTTTGACAGATAGCTGGGCCTAACGCACATTACTTTATGAAAATGTGGAATTCTGCAACACTATTCGGTAATCACTGGGTTTGGAGGTGTTGACAACAGAACGATCTGCTATGACACAACACCTACCTCACATATATCAATAAATATGTTATTTATTTATCCAAAACCGTATGTTTTTTTATCACTTGTTTACTTCATTTGAGTCCTCCAATTTCAATCGTTCAAAATTTCCCAAATATGCAATTCTATTTTGTAGATGATGCAAATTACACGAACAAAAAATATTTTGATCCGGACCATATAAAGAGAATATAAATTAATATTTAGAAGAATTCTGACCGACCCTTTTTGTTGATTAGTCACTGCCTAGAGACTTCCAAGTGATTTGCATAATCTACAAAATGGCGTTGTCACTTAGGAAGGAAATTTTGAACAATTGAAAATGGAGGACTCAACTGACAGAATGTAGTAGCAATTGGGGAAAATAAGGGTGGTTTAAGACAAACAAATAGCCCATTTAACGTGAGGTAGATGTTGTGTCATTATACTCATAGCTGACTCAATTGTTGTCAGCATTTCAAAATGTGACGCTACCAAACGATGTCAGAAATTTTCATGTTTTCCTTCGTAGTGCGCTCTGGCCCACATACTCCAGATATCAATATGTCAAACTTTTGATGTCAGGGCCAGATGTTTCCTGATGTCTCTAAAAATAGTAACAGAATCAATGACCTCCACATGATTATAGTTGAAACCAATGAAGATATGAGATAAAGAAATTATATGTACACAAGCACATGCCTATATATTCTTTATCTGTTATTATGTAGATATTCATATATGTCCCAGGGTTTATACAAGCATTGAAAAGGCTTAAACACATGGGAAGACCTTGATAAGTACTAAAATTGATGAAAAGGCTCTAATTATATAAATGTCCTTTAATTTAACAAAAATGTCTCGAAAGTGTCAAATCAGCCTTATAAGTGACTAACTGATCTTTTAGATGGGTTTATGTTTTTTTGTTTTTTTTTATAAAAATCAATTCAGATAATTCAACATTTGCTGCAATTTCCATATATACTGGTTACGGACTAGTGTTAGACTTTAGGTTTATTTTCAGGCTACACGTCCAGGTAGCTACAATGTATATTACACTTGGCGGATAATTTTAGGCCTTGCTTATACTGCAAAAGACATAGAAAAAAAGGTTTGAATTTCATAGCAAAATTCCTGTACAAACCTTGTATCAAAATAACTATGTTTTCATAAATTGGGTTTAATTTGCAATATAGAGCAGAGCCAGTTACCCACAGTAAATGGATATTTGTGACAGTATAATCATGATATACAGATATAAATTCAATGTGTTTCTTTTAATTTCAGGGAATTGCGTCAGACCCGAAATAAATTACTGGAGTTACTAACTGACCCAAACCATGAACCAGTCACAGTGGAGAAGGCCACAACTGACTACTTCAGTCTGCTTATGGGCCTTATTCAGTCATTCGGGGAGGAGGCAGACAACAAATTAAGAAAAGCCATCAAGTACAAATGGACTAATTCACTTCTAGGAAATACTCCTATGTGAGTCTGCCACAATAGTCATGGCTTTTGGCTGTATTGATTACCATATCACATAATAGATTCTGCTTAGTAAAAATGTTAACCATTTGTCAGGAAAGTCACATGTTTCATCCGATTGTTTGAATAGAAGTTTAATGATTGAAGGTTAGTTTACAACAAACACAAGATATAAGACATTTGTCAGACAATAAGAGCATTTTGGTACTGTATTTATTATATAACTGTGTCTGTTTGTACTGGACAGGGAGCAGTTTGATGCTGTATTTATTATATAACGGTGTCTGTTTGTACTGGACAGGGAGCAGTTTGATGCTGTATTTATTATATAACGGTGTCTGTTTGTACTGGACAGGGAGCAGTTTGATGCTGTATTTAGTATATAACGGTGTCTGTTTGTACTGGACAGGGAGCAGTTTGATGCTGTATTTAGTATATAACGGTGTCTGTTTGTACTGGACAGGGAGCAGTTTGATGCTGTATTTAGTATATAACGGTGTCTGTTTGTACTGGACAGGGAGCAGTTTGATGCTGTATTTAGTATATAACGGTGTCTGTTTGTACTGGACAGGGAGCAGTTTGATGCTGTATTTAGTATATAACGGTGTCTGTTTGTACTGGACAGGGAGCAGTTTGATGCTGTATTTAGTATATAACTGTCTGTTTGTACTGGCCAGGGAGCAGTTTGATGCTGTATTTAGTATATATAACGGTGTCTGTTTGTACTGGACAGGGAGCAGTTTGATGCTGTTTTGTGTATAACTGTGTGTTTGTACTGGACAGGGATCAGTTTGATGCTGAATTTAGTATAACTGAGTGTGTTTTTAGTGGACAGGGAGGAGTTTGATGCTGTATTTAGTTCATAACTGTCTGTTTGTACTGGACAAGGAGCAGTTTGATGCTGTAGTTAGTATAACTGTGTGTTTGTGCTGGACAGGGAGCAGTTTGAGGCTGTATTTAGTATATATAGCGGTGTCTGTTTGTACTGGCCAGGGCGCAGGTTGATGCTGTATTTAGTATACCTGTATCTATTTGTACTGGACAGGGGTCAGTTTGATGCTGTATTTATTATATATAACGGTGTCTGTTTGAACTGGACAGGGAGCATTTTGATGCTGTATTTAGTACATAACTGTCTGTTTGTGCTGGCCAGGGAGCAGTTTGATGCTGCATTTAGTATAACTGTGTGTATTTGTACAGGATACAGGGATCAGGTTGATGCTGTATTTAGTATACCTGTGTCTATTTGTACTGGACAGGGATCAGTTTGATGCTGTATTTAGTATAACTGTGTGTGTTTTTAGTGGACAGGGAGCAGTTTGATGCTGTATTTAGTATCACTGTGTGTGTTTGTACTGAACAGGGAGCAGTTTGATGCTGTATTTAGTATATAACGGTGTCTGTTTGTACTGGACAGGGAGCATTTTGATGCTGTATTTAGTATATAACAGTGTCTGTTTGTACTGGACAGGGATCAGTTTTGATGCTGTATTTAGTATAACTGTGTCTGTTTGTACTGGACAGGGAGCAGTTTGATGCTGTATTTGAAGCAGCTTCTATGGCCATCAACATAGGATTGTGGTACACCAAGCATGCTGCCAAACTGGCTGCCAAGGAAGAGTAAGTTACCCGAGGATACTTTTGGTTGATTTATATACACAATGCTTTGTTGCACCAAAAAATGCAACACATTCTCAAAAACATATTGAGATTGCAATTTTTTTGCAATATTATATTTTTAAGGTCGTACTAGTCACTCAATTAAGTTACCTATTTTGATTGCCTTTTGTCCATTGTTGTGTTTTTCTGTAAACTATCATATTGTCAACTTTTCCTCAGAAACTGTCTATCAGATTTGGATGAAACATCAGGGTAATCATCTGCCTCTGTTAGGGATCGACCGGATCAGAATCTTCACTCAATAAATGATTGACCCCACAATGGGCTGAGGGCCGAGGTTATTAATGTTTGCAGAGTGAAAGTTTTCAAAAGACATCTCCTCTGAAGCTAATTGGTGGATTTTCACCACCATATCAATAAATGATCCATATATGATGAGGACCAGATCATGCTTTTAAGAATAGGCTGACAGAAATTGAGGGATGGGGCCAAAAGGGGTAGCAAAAGTGCAAAACATTCAAATGAAATCTCCTCTTAAACTTACAGGTGTTTTTTCACCAATAATTCCTGAAATGTTCCTTCAATGAAAGTATCAGATTTTTTACTGAAGAAGGGTCTGCCATCTAGTACAAAACCATATTCATATATATTTTTTATAAATATTCAAATCATGAGTGAAACATGCTGTTATTCATCAAGATACCAAGGTCCTTAATATGCTTATTATGGTGACGTGATATTGCCACAAAAAGTACAATTTTAATGATAATAATATATATTTTTTTATGGATTCCTATTAAAGGATTGGAGAGTTTAGACAGTGTATCAACAATTTCCCCATTTGTCATTCACATGTACATTATTTATTGTTTTAGAATTTTCAAATGATAACCTTAGGCTCTTCTGTTAAATTGGTTTTATGTGTAAATTTCAGACCAGAGATGGAAGAAGCAAAAGAGGTTCACAAATGTTTGAAGATTGCTGCAGGCTTATTCACATTTGTCAAGGTAAGGTCAAGTTAATGAAAACGTAATGAAACTATACGAAATAAGAATTGAAATTTTGGAATGTGTTTTGATTTTCTTGATTTTAAAGCAGTTACCTTTTTTATGCTGAATTATTTGCAATGAAAAAGAGATGCTAATGACAATTCATATTTCATATGTTCTTAATGTGAAAATTTCATTGCTCAAGATTTCCTGTGAATCTAATGTTGGTAAATTTTATAATCGGCTATCAGGTACACGTGTTTGAATATCAATTTGAATTGGTTGTATAAGTTGTTCATTTGTCCTATTGAAAATATAGTAAATCTTAAAATATTTTTTTCTTTGAAAAGCATTGGATCTGTATATCTATTTATTTGCTATCAAGAATAATACAAGTTCCAAGCATTCTTAGATACAAAATTGTCATGCTGTATCATAATACATTTGTGAACTTTATCAATTATTCATCTTTTCAATTTTGGCATCAATTATTATATTGATTTTTTTTAACTAAATTTCTTTTATTTTTGATCATTGAACCAACACTAATTGAATCTATTACCAACAAATTATCTGAATCAATGTAGTTCCAATATTAAAAATGACTGTATGTACAATACCAGGATGATTTGATATCCCGGCTGTCTGAGAACACGGAGGGAGCTGTAGACACAGACAGTCGTGTTCTGGAGGCCTATGTCCACCAATGTACTGCCGAGGCTCAAGAGGGTGAGTCCAGCAGGGCAGATGATGACATTAACTGTAATCGCTTACAGTTAAACATATTTTCATGAAGTTTGACTTGGGTGTTACATTTATCAAATAGTGGAAATTGTAGGAATTTTAAAGAAATTTTGTAAGTGTTCTATAAATGTTGTCTACCCAAACTTAGTATAGTCTTTCTTTGATTTTGATTGTAGATAAAATTGAGATTGCAGAACAAAGTAAAAAAAAAAATGTTTGTTTTGATATTCAGTTTCTGGTACACCCATCTACCTTGGTAATTTACAAAGATAATGCTGTCCTGGCACATACAGTCATGCATGTTCATAACACTGTGTTAAGCTGAAGCTATCGAGAAGTGTCTCTAACATATCGTGATCATGATATACATTTACTGATAAGTCTGTTTACTAACTGGGCACATGTTAGTTTCAATGTGATTGTTTTATCTGACTGTACAGTTGAAGCGGGAGACAGTCCAGAGTTGAGTCTCAAAGACAAATGATTTGTGATTTGTTTTCAGTGACATTGGCCAGAGCTGTTGAGATGAGGCATGCTTCATCATTGATAGCGTCGCTGGCATTCGAAACAGGACAGATGTACCAGAAAGCAGGTAAGAGTGATAAAACATGTCAATTTCTGTGCTGTCCATGTACCTGTAAATTTAAAATTTTGAAAATATGTACTCTGGGGTACATATTCAATTTCTCAGCTACTTTGTGTTTTCTGCTGACCTTTTGTTACCCAGAAAAACGGGGGGTGTAGACACAACGTCCTACAGACCCGTACACGTTCGCTGTTCCACCTAGGACACAAACGGTATGGAAGTGCTACGCAAATGGTACGGAAATGGTACGCAAGTGCTACGCAAACGGTACGGAAGTGTTACGTAAACGGTACGGAAGTGCTACGGGTGACGCTTACAAACGGTGATTCGTTTGTGGTGACAAGAACGGGTTTACATAAAAAGCGGAAGCATATAAAATATCTAAAACGACACGAACATACCCACAATGCATACCCACAATGCATACCCACAATGCATAGGAAGAAATGACAGTAAACTGTTATATCCATCAACTTACGAGAAACGTAATAATATTTTGCCATTTCATTTGCATAATGGATGAGTGTGAAACAAACAGAAATGTCTGGTGATTTATAAAGATAAAGGTCGATCAAATATTGGTACATGTAATATATCCATCACAAAGACCTGACATACGCTAACAGGTCAACGCGACAAACAGATAATAAGTTATGGTCAGAAATATTTCCACCTGCTTACCGAATAAAAGACTTTTTTTTTTTTTCTTACGAGAAACGTAATAATTAATAAGCCTAATAATAAAAAAATGATATAATTTCAGACTCCTGTAATAAGGATCCAGTACCTATATTTCTATTTTTTATATCGTCTTTAATACTTCCATACACTTTTAGATTTTTCATAGGATTTGGAGACCGATAATGTGCTTAATTATAAGTACATACAAATACATGCATCAGAGATTTGAAATGTATACATGTTATAACATGTCTTTTAATTAAATTTCATTCAAAGATAAACAGTTTTTTTTGTTATACATCTTTTATTTTATTTTGAAAATGTAGCCAATTCTTGTTTAAGTCTACATTGTGCATGTTTATTGTTATGGGAGTTATTATATATACTTTTTCAGTTTGAAAGGCAAGCTTGTGCATGAAGAAAACTATTATGAATAAGAAAAATAATATGTACTAAATATATGAAATTTTTACATTCATGATATGCACCTCTAGTATTAATAAGAATATAGGTTTTCTTTATCGATCATAAAAATGTAGGTATCTATACTGACTTTTCTACAGGTAAATCTTACCTGAATCCTGGTACTGGAGAAACTATGACCGTCTATAGCACACCCTGAGGGGTGTGCACTGCAAAGGGTATAGGGGTCTGATGTCAGATAACATAGGGACTGAGACCACAGTCAAACTTCAATATATCTACAGTATGTATTTCTCCGTTTGTACATGTAAGTTTGTACCTAAACAGGCGTGGATCAAGGAGGGTGTAGGCTTAGGGCGATAGCTTTCTGATCAGGGTCCAGGGGCAATTAGTCATGGTAGAGTAGAGTAAAAGGGTGTGGTAGGGGGAGTTTTTTAATAGATACATTTATCACTCATTTATAACATTTATCCCTTGCGCAGGTGTATACATGTATTTCTATATGAGGATGCTCACAATCTCTTGTCTCTAGTTCTTCCACATGAAAACGTTATGGCGAGTTAAGGAGTCTCCATAATTAAGTATTTTTTCGTGAAACTGGTGATGGGGAATGGTAATGCACACAAAATCAAGTGAAAATGTTTGCTTTAAAGTGTACGTCTCTGACCGTTGTCAGACTTTTTATAGACAATGCCACAATATAGATGAGTGGTAAAACTAAATAAAATTTTGTTTGTCTGTGTTCAATACATGTAAGTGTAAGTGCAACAATATTTCATATTTTGTCATATATGTACAATGTACGTAGCCTCAATGCCTGGTTCAAGTTCAAGTTCTTTATTACTTTGAGTCGTTCGACTCACCAGTTACAAAATAACAAAATTTGTGATATTAACTGTGCAAAATACAAAATAACATTACACACACTCACAACACAATTACAAGTGCAACTATAATATCTATTTATAATAATAAGGTTCTACGCGAATTTGCAAATTTTATATATTCATTATTTCTTTTGTATTTTTCACACACAATAATCCTTTCAATTTAAACATGCTTGGCTTTTTAATATAATAAGTTTTCAAAACAATTGCTCGCAAATCAGAATGACATGATCTTCAACATCATCTAAATCACAAACATTACACACACGACGATTCAATGTTTTGATATCGCCCTTTTTTTCTAATTTTAAGTTATGAGGAGATATTTCTTTTTATTTCTTTCAGGTATTCTTTTTGTATGGGTTTACGCAGGTAGTTTTGTAGATCAAAATGATCGTAAATATATCTATAAAAAGTTACTTTTGAGGATATTCTATTTTCTTCTGCACATTCTTAGAACATTCTTCTCTAAAAAAATCAATAAACCTTTCTTTAATTAATTAATCCATCTTGTTGTCGTTAATATAATATTCCCAAATATAACCTAGGCCAGGTTAATCCCTCTGATATATACTGTTCACTGTGTAACTTGCTAAAGGCGCTAAGTGGTACTAATTGGTCAGCTGTAAAAGTTCAATTATCTTTTTCATTGAACCATGTAAGTTCATAGGTACACTAGCATGGAACCACTTGACTGATTTTTGACACCTTTATAAATACCACACACAGAGAGGGCACTCCCTCAACAAACTTACTATAGCCAGAGACGTATTGTAATATATACGTCTCTGCTATTGACAACAAGGTAGCACACTGTATTTTCTCAGGAACTCAGTCACATGATGACAATTATCTTCATAATGATTTTTTTAATGATTACTGAAAAATATCATCATTTTCAATAATCTGATATGAAAAGTTTGTTATGTATTAGGGTTAGTATTTAACATTGTTCGCTGATGACAGAACTCATGATAGATTATTCAAAAAAAAATAGATTAGTTATAAAACAAATCATCTACGTGAGAAGTTAAATATCCTATAATAAGGGACATATTTTTTTTTTTATTAAATTAGGAATTCCAAGTAAAATATTAGTTTACCTTTGTTAAGGCAATGTTGTGAAATGAAATTGTGCCTGGGGCTGTCATTTCCTGATCGAGGGACTGAACTGATTTACCTGTATACAGCTGTACATGATGGATAGACAATGAACTGGATTAATTGACATGGACTTAATTGCCTTGAAATCACAGAATGTGACCTTGATCAGGTACAGCACATCAGAATCCAATATGATCACAGGTGAACGGTCAATGCATTATCACTGCCTATATTCTCAGGTATATAGATATCATATTGAAAGAAAAGTATCTGTCAGCGGGTGGCCATGTTGCCCTAACAACCTTTATAACGGCCGCTAAAGTTGTTTATACCTTCAACAAGGGACAGGTCATTACCACATGGCCAGCTGTATGCCTGTTATTTAAATTACCCCTAAGGCTCATTTTTGTGTTTTTTTCTTCAGACTATTTTCAGAAAACAGAAAATTTTCACGTAATGCGGTTTATAATGCTTTTTTTTTTTTACAATTTGTTTCGACAAATATATGTTCTGTAAAATTTTCTACCGAACATTTCACAAACGCTTTTTAAATGGAAAGATGTAGACACAAGTGCTACGGAAACGATACGGAAGTGCTACGGAAACGCTTCGCAAGTGCTACGGTAAAGGTACGAGAGTACTACAGAAATGCTACGCAAGTGATACGCAAGTGCTACGCAAACGGTACAGAAATGCTACGCAAACGGTACGCTGAAAGTGGAACAGCGAACGTGTACGGGTCTGTAGATAGCTGAAGTTTCTCCAATTTCTTAGTCTTTTTTTGTTACCAGGTAAGTTTTTAACTTCTTGTCAATTGAAGTATCTAATAAGCATTTCATAGACAATCATGACTAGACAGTGTGGTGTAGACCATACTTAAAAGGCGGTGGGTGGGTAAAACAAATCATTTTACATTTAGATAGATCAAGATTACAGAAACATAAGTTAAGTCTGGGACATTGAAAAGATTATTATGATAACTCTAAAATAGAAACAGAATGTGGCACTTATTTGCTCTAATTGATCATAACTATTTGCATTATTAGCTCACCTGGTCCGAAGGACCAAGGTGAGCTTATGCCATACCGTGGCGTCCGTCGTCCGTCCGTACATACGTCCGTACGTCAACAATTTCTTTAAACGACTTCTTCTTCTTAACCACTGGTTGAAATTAAACAAATTTGACTGGAAGCATCCCTAGGTGGTGGGGATTGAAAATTGTACAAATGGTGGGGCTGACCCCCCAGGGGGCTGAGGGGCGGGACCAAAAGGGATTAATTTGCCCATATTGCTTTAAGCGACTTCTTCTCTGAAACTAAGAAGTGGATATCAACCATATTTGACTGGAAGCATCCCTAGGTGGTGGTGATTAAAAATTGTACAAATGGTGGGGCTGACTCCCCAGGGGGCTTAGGGGCGGGGCCAAAAGGGGGCAATTTGGCTATATTGCTACAAACGACTTCTTCTGTAGAACTGTGCACTGGATATCAATCATATTTGATCAAAAGCATTCCTGGGAGGCAGGGATTTAAAATTGTACAAATGGTGTGGCTGACCCCCCAGGGGGCTGAGGGGCAGGGCCAAAAAGGGTATTTGGCTATACTGCTTTAAGTGACTTCTTCTCTGGAACTAAGTGATGGATATCAACCTTATTTGACTGGAAGCATCTCTAGGTGGTGGAGATTCAAAATTGTACAAACGGTTGGGCTGACCCCCCAGGGGGCTGAGGGGCGGGGCCAAAAGGGGGCAATTTGGTTATATTGCTATAAATGACTTCTTCTGCAGAACTATGCCATGGATATTGATCATATTTGGTCGGAAGTATTCATGGGAGGCAGGGATTCAAAATTGTACAAATGGTGGGGCTGACCCCCCGGGCTAAAGGGTGGGGCCAATAAAATGCATTACTTGGAAATGGTTGAGATCCCCACCATATAACCATATATACAATTGCTGAGTATAAAGAGAAGAATGCACATTTGCTTCCAGGATGTCCCTAGGGTCTGGCCCCACCCTTAAGCTTGGGACCTAGTTTCTTAGTCACAGCTTGGAAACAGTTGAGAGCCCCACCCTATAACCGTATATATACAATTGCTGAGTATAAAGAGATGATTGCACATATGCTTCCAGGTTGGCCTTGGGGACTGCCCCACCCTTTCGAGACTTAACCCCTGGGTCATAACTTTGAAATGGTTAATACCCCACCCCAAAACTATATATACAATGGTTGGGCATAAAGAGACAAATGCAGTCATGACATTAGAATTGATCCCAGGGTCTGCCCAACCCTTGCAGACTTGGCCCCTGGGTCATAACTTTGAAACGGTTGAGAAACTTTATGAGAAACCCCAAAACTACATATACAAATGCTTGGCAAAAAGAGACAAATGCAGTCACGATATTAGAATCGATCCTGGGGTCTAGCCACAACTCTAGGGACCTAGTTTCTGAGTCAAAGCTTGGAAACAGTTCGAGATCCCCACCCCATAAATATAACCATACATAAAATTGCTGTGCATGAAAAATCTAATATAGCTATGCTACAAGGATTGGCCTTGGGGTCTGGCATATTCCCTTGAACTCATTTGGAGAATAGTTTGCCATGATTGCTTAGGTATCCAGGTGAGCGATACAGGCCCTCTGGGCCTCTTGTCTTATTTGATTACAATGATTGACTTTTCATTCATAAATTACTTTTCTTTTCCTAATGGCTGGCAATGCAATGTTAATGTATTTTATTTTAATGTCGTTTTTTAGATGATGCTTTAAACAGTTTAGATGACAAAGTGGTACTGAAGTGGCGGAAGTACTGTCAGCTTAAATGTAGTTTCTACACATCATATGTAAGTTGACAGGTTTTGTATATTTAGAGATATTTATAAAAAAAAAAATGAAAAAAAATTTTGCAGAAAAAATGGAGATGGCATTAAAAAAGACAATATTTCACCCAGCTGTTTGCTTTCTACAGTATTGATAAAGTCCTATATTCCTCAATATTCATAATGTTGTCAAACAACTGAAAATGAGTACATGTACCTTAGTACCTCCCTTAGAACATGTGCCATAGTGTGTTGTGGGAATATTCATTCCGAACGAAACTGTTGACAAGATAATGATTGGTAATACCTGGTATGCATTGATTTATCATGGTAGACTAAAAGCTGTGTGAAGACTTTACAAAACTTAATCCAGAGAAGAATTTTAAAGGAACAATGGAAAGTTATTTCCCTTGTTACCTTAAAGAGTTACTTTTCTTTTTGTATACTTTTCAATTGTTAAGAGCTTTTATCAGGTGACCCAAACTAGACTTTATATACCAACAGATTGAAAGTCATGATAATTGCTTGAGGAGAGGGAGAGGCAACACTTAACAGTAATGTGAGGATATGCGAAACAAAATACTGTGTACAGAAAATATACTGATTAACCAGACCATCAAAACCTTTATCAAAATTAAGTAATATATGTTGTTTTCATTTTAGGTATATCTTATATATCAACATTACAATATATATTCCATGTTTAGAGATGGGATAGGATACTGCTGTCGTCAGTCAGTGATTGATTTCAATCAATCACAAAACATTAACCTCAGTCATGTGACCAGCTGGTTATCAAGCCTCAGTCTGGTGATTACAGTATTGAACTTCAGTCATGTGACAACTGAAGGTTTCTTGTTCTTATGGTTGGCTTTATATTGTAAATCTAATACCACTGTGTAATATTTAAACTTCTGCAACCTAGGTGAGGAGACAATTATTTGCTATTTCCATCTGTCAGTACACATCTGGTAGTACACATCTGTCAGTACACATCTGTCCCTACATGTCTGTCAGTACACATCTGTCGCTACACATCTGGTAGTACACATCTGTCAGTACACATCTGGTAGTAAACATCTGTCAGTACAAATCTGTAGCTACACATCTGGTAGTACACCTCTGTCAGTACACATCTGTCAGTATACCTCTGGTAGTACACCTCTGGTAGTACATCTCTGTCAGTACACATCAGGTAGTACACAGCTGTCAGAACACATCTAGTAGTACACCTCTGGGAGTACACGTCTGTCAGAACACAGCTGGTAGTACACCTCTGTCAGAACACATCTAGTAGTACGCCTCTGTCAGTACACATCAGGTAGTACAAATCTGTCAGAACACATCTAGTAGTACACATCTGGTAGTAAACATCTGTCGCTCCACATCTGGTAGTACACTTCTGGTAGTACACCTCTGGTAGTACACCTCTGTCAGTACACCTCTAATAGTACACCTCTGTCAGTACACATCAGGTAGTACACATCTGTCAGAACACATCTAGTAGTACACCTCTGTCAGTACACATCAGGTAGTACAAATCTGTCAGAACACATCTAGTAGTACACCTCTGGAAGTACACGTCTGTCAGAACACATCTGGTAGTACACATCTGTGGTAGTACACGTGGTAGTACACCTCTGTCAGTACATATCTGGTGGTACACATCTGGTAGTACTCCTCTGTCAGAAGACATCTGGTAGTACACATCTGGTAGTACACCTTTGTCAGTACACATCTGGTAGTACACGTCTAGTAGTACACCTCTGTCAGAACCCATCTGGTAGTACACCTCTGTCCGTACACATCTGGTAGTACACCTTTGTCAGTACACATCTTGTAGTACACATCTGGTAGTCACATCTGGTAGTACACCTGTCAGAACACATCTGGTAGTACATCTTTGTCTGTACACATCTGGTAGTACACCTGTCAGAACACATCTGGTAGTACATCTTTGTCAGTACACATCTGGTAGTACACCTCTGTCAGTACAACTCTGGTAGTACACCTCTGTCAGTACACATCTGGTAGTACACCTCGGGTAGTACACCTCTGACAGTACACATCTGGTACTACCAGATGTGTACGTACAGAGGTGTACTACACAGATGTGTACTGACTGAGGTGTACTACCAGCTGTGTTCTGACAGAGGGGTACTACCAGATGTGAACTGACAGAGGTGTAAGATGTGTACTGACAAAATTAGATGTGTACTACCATGTTCTGACAGAGGTTTACTACCAGATGTGTCCTGACAGATGTGTACTACCTGATGTGTACTGACAGATTTGTACTACCAGATGTATACTACCAAAGGTATACTGACATAGGTGTACTACCAGATGGGTACTGACAGAGGTGTGATAAACGATGTGTACCACCAGATGTGTTCTGACGGGTGTACTACCAGATCAGATGTGTACTGACTGAGGTGTACTACCAGGGGTGTACTGACATATGTGTACGACCAGATGTGTACTGCCAGATATGTACTGACAGAGGTGTCCTACTAGATGTGTACTAGCAGATGTGTACTACCGGATGTGTTCTGACAGAGTGTACTACCAGAGGGGTACTGACAGAGGTGAACTACCAGATGTGTAGCGACAGATGTTTACTACCAGAGGTGTACAACTAGATGTGTACTATCAGATGTGTACTACCTGAGATGTGTACTACTAGATGTGTATTACCAGATGTGTTCTTACAGAGGTGTACTACCAGGGGTGTACTGACATATGTGAACTACCAGATGTGTAATGTGTACTACCTGAGATGTGTACTACTAGATGTGTACCACCAGAGGTGTACTAGCAGATGTGTTCTGACAGGTGTAATACAAGATGTGTACTAATAGATGTGTACCACCAGATGAGTACTGACATATGTGTACTTCCAGGTGTGTACTGACACAGATGTGTGCTGACAGATGTGTACGAACAGGTGTGTACTGACATATTTGTACCACCAGATGTGTTCTGACGGGTGTACTACCAGATCAGATGTGTACTGACATAGGTGTACTACCAGAGTTGTACTGAGAGAGGTGTACTACCACATGTGTTCTGACAGAGGTGGACTACCAGAGTGAAACAAACAGAGGTGTACTACTACAAGATGTGTACCACCAGAGGTGTACTGACAAAGATGTAATACCAGATGTGTACTATTAGATGTGTACTACCTGATGTGTACTGACAGAGATGTACTACCAGAGGTATACTGACAAAGATGTACTACCATATGTGTACTACCAGGTGTGTACTGACAGATGTATACTACCAGGTGTGTACTGACAGAGGAGTACTACCAGAGTTGTACTGGCAGAGGTGTACTACTAGATGTGTATTACCAGATGTGTTCTGACATATGTGTACTACCAGATTTGTTCTGACAGAGGTTTACTACCAGATGTGTGCTGACAGATGAGTACTACCAGGAGTGTACTGACATATCTGTACTACCAGATGTATACTACCAAAGGTATTCTGACAGAGGTGTGCTACTAGATGTGTACCACCAGATGTGTAATGACAGAGGTGTACTGACAGAGGAGTACTACCAGGCGTGTACTGACATATGTGAACTACCAGATGTGTAGATGTGTACTACCTGATGTGTACTGACAGACGTGTAGTGACAGATGTGTACTACCAGATGTGTAGTACACCTCTGTCAGAACACATCTGGTAGAACACATCTGGTAGTACACCTCTGTCAGTACACATCTGGTGGTACACATCTAGTAGTACACCTCTGTCAGTACACATCAGGTAGTACACATCTAGTAGTACACCTCTGGTAGTACACCTCTGTCAGAACACATCTGGTAGTACACCTCTGTCAGTATACCTTTGGTAGTACACATCTGGTAGTACACCTCTGTCACAACACATCTGGTAGTACACCTCTGTCAGAACACATCTGGTAGTACACATCTGGTAGTACACCTCTGTCAGTACACATCTGGTAGTACAATTCTGGTAGTACACATCTAGTAGTACACATCTAGTAGTACACCTCTGTCAGAACACATCTGGTAGTACACCTCTGTCAGAACACATCTGGTAGTACACATCTGGTAGTACACCTCTGTCAGTACACATCTGGTGGTACACATCTTGTAGTACACCTCTGTCAGTACACATCTGGTGGTACACATCTGTCAGTACACACCTGGTAGTACACATCTGTCAGTACACATCGTTGGTTGATTTACCAGCATTACTCTAATTATGTCATCACACTAAACTTGTAGATAGAGTTGGAAATGACTACACCATTATATCAAATGTTGGTCATTGTGACCTATATTTTTAGCCCAACATCATCTGATGGTGGGCTATTCAAATCACCCGCCGTCGGTTGTCCGACATCCGTCCTTAAACAATTCTTGTTATCGGTATTTTTCAAGAAGTACCAGAGGGATCTTTCTCAAATGTTATATGTAGGTTCCCCTTGGTCCTTAGCTGTGCAGTACAACTTTTGAGACTGATCGAATAAACAACATGGCCGACAGGCAGCCATCTTGGATTTTGATAGTGAAGGTTTGTTATCACTATTTCTCCGGAAGTACCAGAGGGATCTTTCTCAAATGTTATATGTAGGTTTCCATTGGTCCCTAGCTGTGCTGGGTAGCTTTTGAGACTGATCAGATAAACCATGGCTGACAGGTAGCCCTCTTGGATTTTGATAGTGAAGGTTTGTTATCGCTAACTCGGGAAGTACCAGAAGGATCTTTCTCAAATTTTATATGTAGGTTCCCCTTGTTCCCTTGTTGTGCAGCAGTGCCTGAAATGGACGGTCGCCTGCTCGCCAATGGCAGTTAAAGTCTTGCTCAAGAGAGACCAAAAGTTGTCAAAAGTGAGGTAGTCACTGGCCCAACAAAAATAGTTTGGGCGGCTGTCGAAAAATTAATGAATAAAAGAAAATATAGTCCCTTCCACATTAACTGGGGGCAGTACATTTTTCAGGTGTCATTACTTCGATTTGAATCGAACTGTCCAGGATTTATAATTTCTATATAAATACTGCCAGGTTGTCTTCTTTGAGGTGCGGTTTTGTGTGAGTGGATCATATCAGGTTTTAACTAGGGTTTAAGAATTAAAAATATGTTTTATTCTGATTTACATATTACAAACATTGTCATGTTATATATATGTAATTTAAATGTGCTGAAGCATTGTGTTAAATGTTGTGGAAATATTTCTTCCCAAAATTATTTGGGCATGAGGGATATTTCTCAAATTTGATATGTTGGTTCCCCTTGATCCCTCATTGTGCATGTTATATTTTGAGACTGATCATAAAAACAAAATGGCTAAAGGAAGAACTAAACAGATCTTTCTCATATTGCAGTGATTAATTCTATTTCCTTCACATTAGTACTGTACTAGTAAATATGTGAAATGATAAACTCACTTTGAAGGTTGGCTTTCATACACATCAGTATTAAGTTTAGATCAAAAGTTACCTCAAGGTGCATTAACTGTTAACATGACTCGATCAAACAAATAAGAGGAAAGAAGAAAAAAAGATTGAACTGACAAAGAACTAATGAAGATGGTACAATGGTGGGCGCCAAGATCCCTCTGGGATCTCTTGTTAGCTTTACTTTGGTTTTTGCTTTCAGCTAAATTTTGGTTAGACTTTACCTTCAGGTCAATTTCCATTGAAGCAGGAGCAGGGACAATTGTATTAATGTCTTTATCTGAATCCAAAGCTGAATTTACCATAGAAAATTATGATTACCTGATATGTCACCTGCTACAATAAAAATGGAGGCTGTAGTTATCAGTATTCATTTTAGGCTCATTGTTACAATGGAGAGACACTTCTAGCACAAGACAAGTGTGGAGAAGCAATAAGAGGACTTCAGGAGGGAGTGAAATGTAAGTGTTCAGTCACAAATTCAGGAAGGAGTGAAATGTAAGTGTTCAGTCACAAATTCAGGAAGGAGTGAAATGTAAGTGTTCAGTCACAAATTCAGGAAGGAGTGAAATGTAAGTGTTCAGTCACAAATTCAGGAAGGAGTGAAATGTAAGTGTTCAGTCACAAATTCAGGAAGGAGTGAAATGTAAGTGTTCAGTCACAAATTCAGGAAGGAGTGAAATGTAAGTGTTCAGTCACAAATTCAGGAAGGAGTGAAATGTAAGTGTTCAGTCACAAATTCAGGAAGGAGTGAAATGTAAGTGTTCAGTCACAAATTCAGGAAGGAGTGAAATGGAAGGGTCCAGTCATAAAATCAGGAGGGAGTGAAGTAACAACTTGAGGTGAGGGTGAAATATGTGGCTAGTTACAAGACCAGAAGACAGTAAAATGAAAATATCTTAGCACTTATGTGGAAGAGAAATGTAGGTATTAAGTGCAGAATTTAAATTTTGTGATTCAAGATGACTGCTATGCCCTCTGGTTGGCTAAGACAGAACAGTTTTAAAGTTCCAAGTCCAAGTTTAATGTGTCAAGTCCCAATTCCATTTAAGTGTCATGTCCGAATTTAATGTGTATGTCCTAGTTTAATGTAAGTGTCATGTCCCAGTTAAATATCAATGAAAACTTTAAAAAGGTCAAAAGATATGGATACTGTGAGGTTAAACTAGGAAGGAAGTAAAAGGTTGTGTCACCAGTACCTTGATCTATCCTAAACTTACCTCATTTTGTAAATGTACCATATGTACTATTATTTGTTAGGACAAGCCTTGATTTTGTAAATGTACCATGTGTACTATTATTTGTTGGGACAAGCCTTGATTTTGTAAATGTATCATGTGTACGATCATTGTGTGTCACTAGTTAAATAAAAGCTGAATGTCACATGTTTTTGTTTACAGTGTATGAACGAGCAGAAAAACAGTGTAAAGAGTATACATCGGCTAAAGGATTAGGAACATTTGCCCGACCAGCCAATCATTTATTCTTTCGAAAAGCAGAACCTGTGCTGAAACGAATATTAGAAAAATGTGACAGAGAAAATGGATTGATGTGAGTTGCTCCAAATCAGCATTTACAATAGACTAGATTTAGGATCCCCGTCCCTCTGCCTAAAAATGTAATGAGGCATTGGTTTTTTTCTACGGTATCGCTATTGCATAATCAAATAATTTCTGACTAATAACCCATACTTTGCAGGAGTTTCTTCAGATATTTTTGGAAATTATGAAATTTCATTTTTTTTTCATTTTTTTTTTCAATTGAACAAAATGAAACAATATTCATTTTATTTAGTGCAACAATGGTTTATTAGCTCACCTGGCCCAAAGGGCCAAGTGAGCTTATGGCAAGGTGCGTTGTCCGTCGTCCGTCCGTCGCCAACTTTTTACTTTAAACAACTTCTTCTCAGTAACCAAAAGGGCTAGGGTAATGATATTTGGCCAGAAGCATGGTGGGATAGAGTGCTACCAAGTTTGTTCAAATAAATGAACTTCAACCATTTTCAAGGACACAGGGGTCAAATATGTAAAATCCTTTAAACGACTTCTTCTGAATAACCAAGAGGCCTAGTGTGATGATAGTTAGCCAGTACCATGCGGAAATGAAGGGCTACCAAGTTGGTCAAATAAATGACCTTGACTTATATTCAAGGTCACTGGGGTCAAATGTGTTTTAAACCTTTAAACGACTTCTTTTGAATAACCAAGAGGCCTAGTGTGATGATAGTTGGCCAGTACCATGCTGAAATGAAGGGCTACCAAATTGTTCAAATAAATGACCTTGATTTATTTTCAAGGTCACGGGGGTCAAATATGTAAAAACCTTTAAACGACTTCTTCTGAATAACCGAGAGGCCTAGGGTGATGATATTTGGCTCGTAACATGCTGGGATGAAGGGCTACTAAGTTTGTTCAAATAAATGACCTTGATTTATATCCAAGGTCACTGGAGTCAAATATCTTTAAAACCTTTAAACGACTTCTTTTGAATAACCAAGAGGCCTAGGGTGATGATATTTGGCCAGTAACATGCTAGGATGAAGGGCTACCAAGTTTGTTCAAATGAATGACCTTTGCCCATTTTTTTCTGAATTACTTTAAACTTTAAGTCAAGACGCTTATATTTTGCCTGTGGCTTTATTTTAGTCCTCTTTTAAGGTTGCAATTGTGAGATTAATACCAGGTGAGCGATGCAGGCCCATTGGGCCTCTTGTTAGAAATATAACACATAAAAAATAATAACAATGTCAATATTGATGAACAAAACACAAAAAAAACCATTAATTTTCTAATAATAGTACTAAAACAAACAAAAATGCCAATTAAATGAATCAATAAAATTCTGAGTGCCAATGCAACACGTTTAGGAAAGAAAATATAGGTGACAAGAAATAAATATCTTGCGGACTTACTTATTATACAAAAAATTATAAAGATACAGAAAACTAAACAAAAAAAGAGAGACAACTCTTACATTTGTACCCAATAATAATTCTTAATCCCAAAAAGTCATATATACAATTTACAACATACAATATAGCACTTTTTATATGCAAATATAATACAGTAGGCATTACCAACCATTAAAAATACTTCAAATGTAATATCCAATATAAAACAAATTTCACATTGTGTATGAATAATAATAATAATTGCTATGTTGTGATATAAAAAATCAAACTATATACAACAATAATCAACTTTTACATTCTGAACAAAACAATAATAAACTTTCACATTATGTACAGATAACAACATATATTGTGGTTTAACAAATATCACACTATACAACAATAATAATTTTTTACATTATGTACAAATAACAACATATGATTTTGTAATTTAAAAATATCACATTGTAAAAATAACATTGTTGTAATATAAAAAAAAATGGGCATATACATGTAATAACAAATATAGAATATAATCGAGACTATTATGATCTTACTTGTATGTATTAAATACTTACCAGGCCAAAATGTCTTTCCTGTTGGGTATTGCACAACTGTAGCCTAGTACCGCATTCCTTACAACCTTTCTGGTCGAGGTATTCAGATAACACTGTGAGTTCAACCACTCGTCTACCCTGCGACCAGGTTAAAAAGTTATTGGCGTATTTGTGATCACTTGTACTGGAGGGACCCTCATCGGACGTCGGTGTCGGCTCATCAGTAAAATTGTCAGTAGTAGGGGCCTCAGTTGTCAGCATCTCTTCAATGTGTGAACGAGTGTCACTTTGTTTCGTCGCATAGTCGTGGTCTAGCAGTTGATATTGGACATCGTTGTTGTTATCACTGTCAGTTAATGCGTTCAGTTTACATTTAAAACGGCCAATTTTACGTCGGCTTGCATGTCGGCCATCACTGCCACAACGTTGTTTACATCGTTACGACAGCTTTTTTTGCCCACACTTTCAAGATTGGAGATTTTCAACGCAAGGGACACAACTCTGTAGTTGAAACGTTATTCAAACGAAATCTATTCAAGGGAAGATAACAACATTGTCGAAATGGTAATCTGGGGCAGGTGACCTAACACTGAAAAACGACAGTGGAATTCTTTAGTGTTTTGCTCTGGCTGGGACGGGGATCCTTAAGTGAGAAAACAATTGCATCAGACTTTTAGAAACTAGTCAGGGTCAGCGATGTTAACATTTGTTTTTAGTTTTACGAAAGTGGGCTCCATTACTAAGAAAATGAAAAAAAACAATACCTAACATTGAGGATTGAAATGCATGTTCGTAACAATTATGATGGTATGAAACAATGCTTACAACATATTTTCAAAGATGTTTTACTGCACAATACATTCATTTTAATCCTTAGGTTTATGCTGTGTTTCTTTTATAACATTTAAAAAACTGACAAAAACATAATGTTAAAATAATTTTGGCTATTCCAGCAAACCCTAAAAAGAGATAATACAGAGATGTTGTATAACCAAATAATTGGTGCAGTATTTGTAATTCTCACTTATGATTGAAAGTTGCTCAGCAGTGAAATTCTAGGGCAAGGTTGGGTTTGTGAAAAATTCTGTTGTTTTTATCAGAAATGAATTAATGTTCATGAACTTTGAACTAAAAAATGTAAATTTGTTAATTTGACAGCTACCATCAGAAGGTTCCGTTTGACGAACCAGTGCTGGAGTTGAAGGCCACCTACGGTCTGGTGGCCCCAGAGGTGTTTGCTTTTCCTACTATCAACCCTCTCTGGACAAAGGATGTCTATGACAAAATGAACGCAAAAATGGCACCAAGACCTGATGATGTAAGATTGGGTAGTATTTGTCATATGTATTTGCAAAAATAAATTTTCATCCTACATATGTAATATAATTGACCCTTTTGCTACAAGAAATCATTAATTTTAGCAAAATGCCTAATCCTGTATGTTGCTGCCAGAAGATAATATGAGTTGTATACTGTCAGCAGAAACTGTTTAATTGTCCAAACATGTCTTTACTGGCATCATCCATAGGGTTTTCATATCACACACATGACACGCATATAAATCCTTGGGAAGGTTTGCATTAAACGGACATTACTATTTGTATCACCATATTCATTCATTGGAGAGGTTATTGCAGATATTACTATTTAGCAGGAACAGTCAGGGAGGCACTTTTTGGTTCACCTGTGAGCAACGTGAGCTAATGCTGAGGCTCGGAGTCTGCCATCAGTTGTCTGTACTTAAACTTAACGTATGCTCATTAATACCTGATAGCTTTGAACAGCTTAATACATTTTGACTTACTTTGGTCTTGAGCATTGTTTGGCCAAAGGGTTTTATTTTTTACCCGGGTAGAAGGGTGGGGCCTATAAAGGAAATTAATGTAAATATTCAAAATCTTTAAAAAAATCTCGCTCAATGAAGGCATTTTACCTTAATTTGTTTAGGAGCATTATTGGGCAAATGGGACTTGAGTGTTGATGAAATGGAGTGTGTGCTTAATCCACACGCCCTACCCCCTAGAAACAAACGATTTATAAAGAAAGGGTTTGCAGTATTATAATTAATGAGCATATTTTCCAATTGATTGCTTCTATATCCATGTGAGTAATAGATTTCAATAACACATGTGTAATTCAGAACAAAGACAAGAGTAAGAAGCCCGAGGACCTCCCCCCGGTAAAGGAGAAGGAAACACCCATGTCAGAGAAGGACCCTGGCAACTTCAGCGGTTGTGTAGTGTCATAAGCCTGTGTGTTTAGACCTTTGTTACCTTGTCTACAGCATGTAGACGGAACATTCTCTGTAGTATGTAGGCTAGACAGGAACCACGGACAAGTGCTGGTATATCAAGGAATGGAGAGAGCTAAGCCTGGTCTCTAACAACAGAGATGTGGTGTATTTTATGATCTGCCTAATGATTGATGATCATTAACTTACTTAGATTTTTGACATATTACATATTTACCAGGGCGGACAGATAGAGCTAGGATATGTTTTCATACACCTTGGCAGATTGACTGAGTTTTCATTTATTTGTGTGAACAGAAAATGGAAGTATTTGTTTTCATACCGTTAGACTGAAATGATGCTTGTTACACTGTTAGATTACCAGGCTGTTTTAAGTCTGTTGAGAACGCTCCTACTTCACACAAGTTGAACTCTTTATTGTGTGACCTTTTCTAGATAACAGAAGAATCACAGTTTGCAATATTCAAATTTAATTGTTTTTCACTAAAACATCTTCATGGATTTCCCTTTATATTGATATATTGATAGCTTTTATAATTGGAAAATAGACCTTTGTTCTTAACCTGTTTTACTTTATGAAGATACTATTGAGTAGATGGATTGTATATGTATGATATTCATGATTCTTATGTATAATAGTCCTTGTATTTATTGAAGAATTCATACTATAAAGTGTTAAAATGAAACAGATATACTCTATATATGAAATGTAATGTGCATTTTTATCTATATTTATGCACGATACTAGAAACAAGGTTTATTTACCATTGCATAATTGGCATTTATTAGAGTAACATTTAGCTATTGAGAACTATTGCCACAAACATAAATGTAATAACAATGACACTACCTTATATAACCCTGTTTTACTGTGTTGATCCTGTTAAATAGAATATATTGTGTCGCGTATCAAAGTGCAGCCTGTCAGGCTCATTGCAAAGACATGACATACACAGGATATTTGTGTCATTGTTAAACACATGTACAGTGTAGATCTAATTTCATTGTCTTTCATCTATTGTATATATCCTGATATTTAAACATTTCTTCCAAAATAGAATTATATGAATTATTAACCAAAAGAGTGAAAAAACTTTCTACACAAAATATTGTAATAAGCCATATATTATGTGTGATTGTCCAAGGATATTCTAAGAATTTATAATGTAAGACCTGTACATTGAAATAAGGAGATGTTGATAGAATGGCTTGTTGCTTCCTAATTTTATGAATATTTGGTGTGTAAATATGTAACAGATCAAAGACAAAGTGGTTTTAACTTATGAACAATCTTAACATGTACACTGTAGTAAAGTTTGTATTTATATAAACACAAATCCCATTTACACGCCTAATCTTTCAATTGTGTATATATTAAAACAAAATTCAAATTCAAGAAGCTTGTTTAATGACATAGCAAACTGATAATTTACAGTAAGACGATATTATATTCCATCGTTATATGGTTGTAAATATTGTTTTTGTACAGTTCATCTGACTTGTAATAGGTGTAAGTGAAGTGTATTATATATAATAATACATAACCCATTAATTATTAAAGTTTCAATGAAGCTTATGAAGAATGTTCAAGGTACAGTAACACCTGCTCTCAAGTCTTGTAAACCTCCTTTAAATCAGATACATGTACATACTGTTAAAATAGTCTGATGTCTTTGTTAGTGAAATAAATATTTAATAAACAATAGGTGTAAAAGATGATTTCAGAGCCTTGAGGAGCACACATTCATTTTTTATTTGTTATATATACTTAGTACTGTTTTGGTGTAGTAAGGAACAAACGTATGGTATTTCTATGCTATGATGTACTGATGTACATACCGGTAGTGCTGTTCTGGAGAGGAAAGGAGCAATCCTTTAGTTCTATGCTATGATGTACTGATGTACATACCGGTAGTGCTGTTCTGGAGAGGAAAGGAGCAATCCTTTAGTTCTATGCTATGATGTACTGATGTACATACCGGTAGTGCTGTTCTGGAGAGGAAAGGAGCAATCCTTTAGTTCTATGCTATGATGTACTGATGTACATACCGGTAGTGCTGTTCTGGAGAGGAAAGGAGCAATCCTTTAGTTCTATGTTATGATTTATTCGGGATTCATAAAGAGCAAACCTGTATTTCTTTCTTATATGTATAGTGCTTCTCCTGAGTGGTAAGGAGAAAACCTTTATTTCTTTGTTATGAACATACTTCTACATAGTCAAGCCTTGTTGTTAAAATCATACCACCACAAATTATCCTATAATGTACCTTACTAGTATATTGGAGGACCAATTACCCTTTCTCTATGTCCTGCAGATCCAGTCACTATAGCTGGGATCAAAGGTGGCTGTATTAACAGGCCCCACACTGAATGTTTTATTTTCCATTCTTATTAGCCAATGTGCATGCTAAAAGTTACAGCCTGGACAAGACTTAAAATTGGAAATTATCACTTTTTTTTTACCTCTGATCTAGAATTGCACTGCACAACTTCTGTGGGTGAAACAGATACACTTCATGTTTCATCTTCATATTTCATCAAGATATCTAGGACGGTTGCTTTGATCTTTGAACTTCAGATTCAGGTCAAAGCGACATAATTACAGTGAATTGCAATCTTCCTTGGATGATGTAGGTATCGTTTAAGTTTCATCAACATGTTATAGTTTTAAAATTAAGACAGGAAACTATTTTAGAAGGACCAGTGCTAAACATTTTGAAATAATAGTATCTTCAAATTTTATCCATTGAAGTGTTGCTATTAAAAGATTAGGAGTTTTATGATTTTACAGGGGGAAGACTTTGATAGGGTGTATAGAACCAGTTTAAAACCTTACAAATATTTCCACTTATTAGTGCACACACTAATCAGAACATGCCCTTACATGGTCCATGTTATGTACATTGACCCTATAACATGGTGAAAGTCTAAGAAATATCCATTGCAATGAAAATGAGAACAGTTTTTGGATTTTCATTCATGTTCAAAACTGAACAAAAAAACTAGTAACTATAAGAAAAGTGTTTGCTTTAGTATAAACATATTTCTTCACTTCTTTCAACATTTCATGATTAAATGCTATTGGATCTTTGATTAACGGAATCATCAATAAATAAATACATAAAGAACCTTATATCTGTGTTATCTTTATAAATTGGCATGGTTCATCCCAGTTAATGGATATTTGTTTAGTGGTTTAGGCCCACTTGTTGGTTTATCCTGTTTATTGGAGATGAATGTGTTGTTCGTTGTGGCGGCCCACTTGTTGGTTTATCCTGTTTTTTGGAGATGAATGAGTTTGTTGTGGAGGCCCACTTGTTGGTTTATCCTGTTTATTGGAGAGGAATGTGTTGTTTGTTGTCGCGGCCAACTTGTTGGTTTATCCTGTTTATTGGAGATGAATGTGTTGTTTGTTGTGGCGGCCCATTTGTTGGTTTATCCTGTTTATTGGAGAGGAATGTGTTGTTTGTTGTGGCGGCCAACTTGTTGGTTTATCCTGTTTATTGGAGATGAATGTGTTGTTTGTTGTGGCGGCCCACTTGTTGGTTTATCCTGTTTATTGGAGATGAATGTGTTGTTTGTTGTGGAGGCCCACTTGTTGGTTTATCCTGTTTATTGGAGATGAATGTGTGGTTTGTTGTGGAGACCCACTTGTTGGTTTATCCTGTTTATTTGAAAGGAATGTGTTGTTTGTTGTGGAGGCCTACTTGTTGGTTTATCCTGTTTATTGGAGATGAATGTGTTGTTTGTTGTAGTGCCCCACTTGTTGGTTTATCCTGTTTATTGGAGATGAATGTGTTGTTTGTTGCGGAGGCCCATTTGTTGGTTTATCCTGTTTATTTGAGATGAATGTGTTGTTTGTTGCGGAGGCCCACTTGTTGGTTTATCCTGTTTATTGGAGATGAATTAATTGTTTGTTGTGGAGGCCCACTTGTTGGTTTATTGGAGATGAATGTGTTGTTTGTTGTGGCGGCCAACTTGTTCGATGTTAAGTGTCAGTGTTGTGTCTATTTCGGAGACCCTCTTGCATATGACCTGTTTATTTGGGGAGGAAGTTGTGTGTTTATTTTGGGGTTTCACTTGTACATATGTACGATGGTCAGAATAAAAGTAAAAGCTGTAAAGACAATAAAACTATAATAAACCTGGTGCGCCAAATGAGAAGGTTTTCCGAAAGGGTCGGCGTCTTCACTTTTCGATGAAAATAAACCAAGTTGATTTAGGTCAGACTAGGCGTTCCGAAAGGGTTGCCGTCTTCACTTTCTTCTCTTCGATGAAATCCGCCAAGTTAATGTAGGTCGGACAAACCGTGGTCAAATTAAGCTGAAAACTTTTCATCAGTTTGTTATTTTCCTTTGTTAAAAAAAAAATGCTGCTTATGCTGAAAAAAAATCATGCGCTTGTATCATATATGTTATCAAAATTGTGTCACCTGTTGCGGCTTAAGTTCACCTGATTAATGAAGTTTGTGAAATTATCAATTTCCCTGACCTGGTTTTGATGGCGGCCATGTTTGATACTATGAGAACAATGCTACAACTGCTGTGAATAACCACCTGTGAGAATGCATATGTGTTACTTCAACATAACTAACTGTATGCATGCCTTTTCACCCTAGCTGTATAGAACTGGTATAACGAAGTATCCAGTCCTCATCTGAGTTTGTTAGTAACTTTCAAACTGTAAATCACTGACTGAATAGTAGCCTTCCTCTAGGCTAACACACGATGGCAGAGATTTCCTCAAACCATCAGACAAAGCATTTTATCCAAATCCTCTCACTCTTGAGCGGCCAATTATAAGCAAATTCTGACCCATATGCCGAAAGAACCACAGCCTGCGGCAACTGGTGCCACATATCTGTATGGCAATGTCAACAGCAGGTTTTGACCACCTGTCCTACTCCTCAACAACAATGATTTTCAGTTTTTGTAACAGATCAAACCATAACAAATTCTACAACTCCATCTATGTAGACAACAATAGATTTGTGAGATTGTCAACATGCTCGACACATGAAATCACCCTAGGCAGCCCTTTCTCCTTTATAGGGAGCCCAACTCCACCCTCAACGAGTACATGACGAGTTCCAGTACAAAAACAAACTCGCAGATCACTCAGTACTATGATTGTCAATTCCAAAGTATCAAGAACAAAGTTCGAGATGCACAAGAACTTGCTGACAACGCAGACCCACAGTGATCCTCGGTACTGAGACATGATTAAACAGGGACATCTTCTCCTCAGAGGTGCTCCATGGAATCTGCAATGTCACCAGGAAAGAGTGAGGGGACTCCCATGGTGGTGTTGATTAGTGTGTACACAAATCTCAACAAACAAGGAACTGGAGCTGGCGGGTGTGAAACCTCAGATTGACAGATCCTAGTCCATTATCATTTCAGTCTTCGAAAGATATCTTAACATGATCGCTCATAATTTTGCACGCTTGGCTGCGGATGAGCTTAACCGCTTTAGACATGGACATCAGAAATGCGAATTTTGGTTTGGAGAGGACTACAACCTGCCGGACATTGACTTGCCATAACTATTTGTCATCTCCCACCAACATCCAACAATAAACATGTGTAGTGTCTACCTTAGTACCCCAATCAGTGTGGGGTGGATCAGATGGATCACCAACCCGAGGTACAAAGATTATTGACTTCTATTTTACTAGTTATCCATCATTAGTTAGTAAATGCCAATCAATTCCTTGAGTTGGAGACCATGGCTTAGTCTTGGTTGACACACTAACTCAACCAATGATTGATTATTAAACCAACTGAAAGAAAGATCCATCTGTGGGACAAAGGCGATCTTCCAAATTTGAAAAAAAAAATGGCAGAGTTCACTTTGTAAACTCATTTGAAGCTGAAGAATTCCGGAATATTAACATTATGTAGACTGCATTCAGGAACAGCATATTAGCATTACTGGACATTCCAGGCGAACTCACACGTTAAAGACTTACCACACCCTGGATGGATACCTATACTAGACACCTAACACGACAGAGTACAGAGCCACTGAAAAAGCCATTGCGACGGGCAAGGCCAGAGATATTCATGAGGCGATACAAACACCTGAAGTCAACATGCTAGAAGACCATCCGAAGGGCACATGGCACTTATGTGTAAAACAGCATTACCCCAGAGGCCGAGCATAACCCCAATACATTCTGGTCCTTTGTCAAAAGACAAAAGGAGTATCACCCCTTAGTAATTTTGTCAGTTTGTGTCACCAATGTATCATGCCAGGTTAAGGTAGGGTGACTAGGTGTTCGGAAAGGGTAGCCTTCTTCACTTTCTGCAATGAAACCGCAGAGTAAATATTGGTTAAATTAGGTGTTCCGAAAGGGTAGCTCGTCTTCACTTTATTCGATGAAACCCACCATATAAATCTAAGTAAAATCAAAGTAATCTTCAAATCAAGAAAGGGATGTGACCACAAAACCACAAAGCCCACTGATACCAAACTGATTGACCTTCATATCATGCAAGGGAAAGCAATACTTTCTAATGAAATAACGTTGTCATCCATAAAACTTGCCTATGGACTTTGTAAACCTGCACCTCTGGAAACCTTCCTAGTGTTGTAAACAGTAAACATCTATCACGGAAATCCAGATATTCGGAGCTAGCTTTCGAAAATCGAATTATCTGCAACATGTCATTACCGTAGATTGGTGAATCAGGAACGTTAATATCAAGAAAATCCTAAACATCATCTTTATCGTACAGCACAGACTTAGTAGTAATATCTCCTTGTCAGTCAGTTGTAAGTAAAGATCGAAAAAAACACTGGCCAAGGTAGAAGTGTTTGTAATGTCCTATATTACCAGTAAAAAGAGTATATACGATAAACGTGTTTAACGAGCTTCTTGCTATTTATAGATAACACCCCGCCGATATATCTGAAAGTGGAATTGAAGTTCTTGGTAAGGTTTAATGTTAACAGATCTGATAAGCTCTTCATGCAAAAAATGAAAGTCTTCTCTGGTGATCAAATAATCAGGAAAAGACAGAACTAGTCGTCGTTTCCCGAAACTTTCAGTAAGCAATGGCTTTCCAGCTCAAGGTTGGTGCCAGAACTATTGAGACTGTCCCAGGTTGTAAAAACCCAGGGGTATACTTTGATAGTTAACTGAACATGGAGAAACAAGTTAACGCTATTGCCAAATCCTGTAACTACCAGAGTATGAAACTGCGGATGTATGCGAGATTTTTGTGCATTCACTTGTTACCCCTCGGTTGGATTACGGTAATGTCCCGCTCTGTGGTTTATCTGACAAACTAACTAGTCGTCTGCAGAGGGTCCAGAATGCTGCAGCTCGTCTGGTTACTCGTACTCGAAAGAGAGAGCACATCACACCAGTGCTATATTCATTGCACTGGTTACCTGTACGATAAAGGTTGCAGTACAAAAGTTTGATGAACACATACATGACACTGAATGGAACATATCCCTAGTACCTACAGGAGCTAGCTTGTTACCCTTTACCAGCCGTCATGATCACTGCAGTTGGAGACAGAATAATTGTTGTGTGTCCCAAAATCTCGTACTGTGAGCTTTGGAAACCGGTGCTTTGGGAGGGTTTCGGCCACATTGTGGAATCGCTTACCATTTGCTATTAGAAAGTCAAATACCCTGGCTAAATTAAAGAAGGACACAAAAACTCACCTCTTCACGTCCGCATTTAAGGCTCTTTGCATAGACGTTATATGTACATACAATCCTTTATTTATTCATTTATGTGCACATTGTCTGCTTGTTTAATGTATTATAGTGATTGTAAACCTTTTCTATTTATCAATTACAACTAATACTATTATTCATATGTTGTAAAGAGTAATTCTACAAATGATATAGGGCGCTATATAAATGTTGTGTATTATTATATTAATATTATTATATCCACAGGCTGTCCCTTCCCACAACACAACTTCTCAACAATAGACATAACGAAACGGGGCATTCCTAATTACCAACTACATCTACTTAATACCAATATACATGGTGGTTCTCACACCATCCCTGATAAATTCATTTGAAAGAGTCACGCAATCTGTTGTGAGACCTCTTTATCTGATATTCAATAAGTATCTCCTCAGGTTAACTTCGTACCGTCTGGAAAATGCTCATATTTTACCTTTATATAAAAGCAAGGGTGGTACATGTCAATTAAATGTAGACCCATATCTGTTACCCCTATCTATACAAATATTCAGGCCTGTCCATAATAATAATGATAGTTGTAAACTCGTCATAATAGACTGTTTGACGTGCTAGTACCAAGGACCCGTTATATAACCCTCGCCATGTCCCGTGTACGTTCTACCTGTACGTGTTTGGACAGCTACCAGCTCGAAGTTTAGTTTTGCTATCTCCAAGGTACCCGCGATTTTCGTATCGATTTTCGATTGTGTCTTTGTATGACGAGAATGTTTATGTTTAACTGGGCTCACTTATTAATGCATCCTTTACGCAATTGCTGGTGACGACGAAGTGTACGGAATATCATTATATACACTTGTTAGGGACACAGAATCGATTTTGTCATTTTATCTATTATAGCTGAGTTGCTTAATGGTGTATCTACGGATTGTTCGATTGAAATATCGAAGTCACACAAAAAAAGAACCACATACATCTCCGACACAAACGCGTCGACACGCATGCATACACTAATGGAAATATTAGCCGGGCTTGTTAAGATAAGACAGCACCTGCATACCCCCCATTGAAATTATGCAATATTGAACGGAGGATATATGGATCATTTCATCCTTTACCATGTATATATGTATTAAATATTTAACGAACAAAGATATTTAATGAAGTGTTTGTGGAATCAGCTACTCACATTCTCAGGGTTATTAGTACTGCCGCTTTGTTTCACCAAATCTTCGGCTGATTTTGTAGGTACATAAACAAGTTACTTTTTTGTTTAATTGAAAGAATAAATCTGATATGACGTCGAATGACATAATCAAATCGATCTCAATTTGTGTTCTAAAACGGTCTATATGTTCATCCATACAGTTCGTCGTCACAAGCTATTGTAGTTATGGTGCAGCAGTAAGTGCAACATAAATAGCCTCAACACAGAATGATAGCTGGATCTAAGCAATAAGGTAAGTATCTATAGGTAAACTGCACGCGTGATACCAGCGTAAAGTACATTGTATATTATTTCTGTCACTTTGATATTTACAAATACGTTTTACATGCTGATTGAGAATCCAGATCAGATAAGTATATACTTTATGTGGCTTATTGAAGTCATTGAGGGCAACAGATAAAATGTGGTGTTCGATTTTGATTTTCGGAAAACACTTGTATTAGATAAATCGAGAAAGAATTGACACACAAAACGGTCTATTTTGACGAAAATGATAGTTTTCATAGTTTTTATTGACAGGAATCAAGTCATATACATGGGGGGCATTTCTTGTTAAACAAATAGAAACAAAAATGTTTCTCCTCTTACTTAGCACGACAAAGTCATGCAGTCTCTCTGTATGAACCTTTTTATACCGGTGTTCCCTACCTAATCCATTGACATCTCCTGATGTTTCAAGATTGACATATTCTAAGACGATGTACTTTCTCCGAATATACTTTACCCATACGATATTTGAATAAGCTGAAAGTGGCCATATAAGTGTAGTTCATATCTCACAAGAATTTCTATCAATTCTACATTTCATCATTTTTAGTGTATTCAATCATTGTAATTTTGTAATATATTTCCTAGATAGAATTAACGAATAAGACAATAATAGATAGAATAATCATGCTGATTATATTCAATGGCTCAGAATCATTCTGGCTTGAAAATAGGAGAATAACAGTTTTATCTGAGTTAAATTGTCTTCTCCAATGCTTTACTCAAATAGAATATTTTTCTTAGAACTACTTTGAAGTTCCTAGCGGCTTCTTGTCTCCCCCCCATTCAAACAGGCCATATACAGATGTATTATCGGCAAATAACTTAACATTATCAACTAGTTCTTCTCTAATGACGACTAATCGTTTCATATCATCAAGGTAAGCCGATCGTAAAACACTTAAAGGTCACCTGAGCTTTGCTTTGCGTCGTTCGTAAATGTTTTACATTTTCAACTTCTTCTCAAGAACCAGTAGATGGATTTTTTTAAAACTTGGTCAGAATCATTCCTGGTAGATGAGGCTACACAATTGTAAAATTGGGATACCTACCCAAACCCCAGGGGTCAGGGCGGGGCCCCAAGGAAAATTAACCAATATTTCAAACACCTTCTGCTCCAGGCCCAGAGATACTACAGTCAATTTCTCTGCATGTATGACAAGATCATCAGAGGCTTTAAATAGATTTTAAATTTCATTAACCCCGGGCCTACCGTTCTTCCTTCTGGAGTGGGTAAACTTTACTATAGTTTATATAGGGAAGTAACACTTTTGGGTATATTTTGTTCATTTTCAGCAGGAAATTATTCAAACTTTGTCAGAATCATCTTTGGTGGACGAGAGTATTACATTGTAAAATTAGGACTCCTACCCCGACCCCCAGGGGCCAGGGCGGGGCCCCAAATGGAAATTTAACCAATATTTCAAAAAACCTTGTTCTTCAGACTCAGATGAAGCACGATCAAATTCAGTGCAAGGATGAAAATCCCGTCAGGGGCTTTATCTATTTATCAAATTTCATTATCCCGGACTATCCATTCTCGCTTAGGGAGGGGGTTAAGTTGACATTTTATAGTTTATATAGGGGAATAACACTTTTGGGTATATGTCCATTTTCAGCAGAAAATTGTTCAAACTTGGTTGGAATGATTACGATGCCAGATAGTAATTAAAGGGACTGAGGGTGTTGGGCCCAAATGGGGAAAATGGTTAAAAGTTAAAAGAATTTTTTTTTATCAGACTTCGAAGGTTTTACAAACAAAGACTCTTCATGGATAGAAGGTCCTTAGGTACATCACCTAAATTGTAAATGACAGTATCCACCAGGTCATCTGCTCCCCTTTGGTTAAGTTTACTCAAGTTTAGTCAGGTATATAACACTTTTGGTATATTTTATCTAATCTCTGCAAGAAATTATTCAAACTTGGCTGGAATAATTGTGAGAGATGGCGATATGAAAAACACGATCCATCTTTGCCCCAGGGACTGAAGGGGTGGGTCAATATTTCATGTATCATGTACAATATTTAAATTTCTTTTATGGATGGAAATGCCCTTACGTGCATTTTATAAATTGTTAATTTTATTACCCTTTGGTCATCTGTTCTCCTTGGTTTATATTGGGAAATAACACTTCTGACTTAATTTAAAAGGGCAAACTTAGTTGGAATATAATTTAACTCAGGTGACCGCTAAGGCACAAATGCTATAGTTTCGGATAGGATTTGCAATTGTTTTGGCGTCGAAAATGAACAGTATAAAACATTAAATGACACATCAAATATTTTCAACAATGTCGTTTCAACTTTAATATGAACCAGCTGGCTCCTATAGGTCTTGTTTGTCCTCTCTGCTATGAGTGGACATCAACCAATAGTCAATTGTAACCTGGTCGATGTTGTCGATTTTTTGATAAGTTATGGAATAAAGAAAAACATAAATACATAAACAAAGCAATGCAAATTAAAGGTTAACATTATTTCACACCCTTATGGCTGCCACGTAATGTTCCATTCGCTTTGTGGATCTTAAATGACACGTATCACGGAGTAATGAACTATATATAGTAACTACACGGAATTCCAGGTAACATAGGTTTCTTGGTAATATCGATCTACCCGGCCGGTACAACGCTAACAACCAAGGTGAGCGTTTTATTTGCAAAAGAATTTATAAAATATATGAGAGTTTTGTAAATTCTCTGACACTCAAGCCAATACGAGCTGTGGAGACAAATGCTGCATACGATATATTACTTGCAACGGTAAGCTGTTTTGTTTATTATTACTTTAATACTTTTGTGTAGGGAATGCAAATGCTTATTCATGTTTTTAAAATATTGCAATAACATAGCAACAGCAGTATCGCACATACAAATATAACATTACATAATGTGTTACTATAGTACAGACAAGTAACAATATTACACAATAAAGCATGTTACTATATAACAGAAAGGTACAAATATAACATGGTATAATGTGTTTGTATATAACAGACAGGTACAAATATAACATTATATAATGTGTTACTATAGTACAGACAAGTACACATATAACATTAAATCATGTATTACTATAGTACAGACAGGTAAAAATATAACATTATATAATGAGTTACTATAGTACAGACACATACACATATAACATTGTATCATAATATAAGATAATGTGTTAGTATTTTACCGATATGTACAAATATAACATTATATAATGTGTAATTATAGTACAGACAAATACAAATATTACACTATATAATTTGTTACGTTAGTAGAGACAAGTACAAATATGACATCAGATAATATGTAACTATAATACAGATAAGTACAAATATTACATTATATAAAGTGATATTGTTGTACAGACAAGTACACACATTACAGTATATAATGTGTCATTGTAGTTCAGGCAGGTACAAATACAGTCGAACCGCGTTATCTCGAACTCTTTTTACTCGAAGACCCCGTTTATCTCGAAGTATTTCTTCTGTATAGTATGTATATTTATATAATATGTTCCTATAGTCCAGACAAACACAACTATATATAATATAATGTGTCATTTTATATCAAAGACAGGTACAAATATAACATTATATGATGTATTTCTGTAGGAAAGATAAATATAATTTTGACAAATTTGAAAAGTTACAAATGGCATCTATAATGGGTTACAAAGATAGATACACAAATGACATGAGTATAAAGTAAATGAAAACAAAATACATGGCCTCAGGACTTTTTCGGCATAGATACAACAATCTCTGGCAAATGATGCAAAAAGGTGGTTCTCATTAACAAATGTCTTTCATGGCAGCAGGTGGACTGCCGAGGATCGTCGCAATTTGCACCTCCCTACACGAGTTAGCAAGAATAACATACACATGCACCGGATAATCGTTGACTATCTTGGTGAAAAGTTCATCACGTAGAGTTAGCAACGTGGGACTACGGCAGTCTATTATACAATTTAAATAACACAGGCAAGTCGAATGAACTGGTAATACATTTGTTAACACTCGCACAAATGTCGCATAGTTCTAGTTTGTAGATTATGCACAATTATCTATACAAGATCCACGTTTTTTGACCAATTATTCATAGACAACTACACTGACATATGCTTGTTTTTTTTAGTTGTCACGGGTACCTAGATATTTACATGTCAACAATAAGGACGGTTCAGTCGGTACGATATCAAGTCTTTGTGTATCCTGTTCAATAATTCGGGCTCTTGCACAGTTATTTAAACCTTTTTCAGACGTTCTATTGAAGAATGACCAGGATTGTACATGAGTTGAATAATAGATCGTAACTTGAAACTGGACAAGACTTCATAATTATATTATTGTATACAATTGTGCACTGTGTGGCTAGGTTCATCTCCTACACTGGTAGTGTTACCATTCACATTGTAATAAGCTCTTCACCTCAGACATTGTTTTTGCACCCTATATTTTATTGATACACTCTGATATACCCAAGTACAAGCATGTCAGTCATCATGATACGAATTTGATACCTGGCGGACCAACACGCCATTAAAGACATAATTATTATAATAAACAGTACACGAATATTGTGATTCAATTTACAGTTGTACTTAGTAACTCTCCCATTTTTCATTGACGTCAAAACATTGTCTTACGTAGCTGTGCATGACATACGGTAGAAATATATTTCAAATCAACATCAGATCACATCGACAGTACCATCAAAACATCAATATCATGCTTGTTTTCTTGTAAGAATGTACTTATCATCTGGTAAACTGTTATTTTCATATTGACCTTGTGTTAAAATCTAATCAACAGATACTACTGTTGGAGTTGTTCTCACAATTTCCACAGGAATATATGCAAATTTTCATAAAAAATTTAACATGACATAGTGTAAAAACCCTTTATTTTGTACAAATTAGTATTTTTAGTGTAATATCATGTTTCCTGTTTTCTGTAATTCGACAGAACGAACTTTATTTAACGTTTGAACAAGTAGTGGAATCCATCACCAACGTTTGATTTTTACTATAAAGTACATCTTTCTTTCTTCCCATGAAACTTTGAGGTTCTACATTGTGAAGCTGTACATTATTACTTAATTAGGGGTTAAACCCAAATATAGATTTAAACAAAGAATACATTGGCCATTGCCTACTGTGCCAGTAAATTAACATTTTTATACTTTTTGAGCGTGCTCAACAATTTTCTTGCTTGCTTTACATAAAATGTTCTTGTATAATTTAGATTTACCTCGAGATATGTTAATTAATATATACTATGTCAATGCTATCCCCGTATCGAGCAAACGAGTGGTTTGACATTTAACAATATATACCGCATTAAGAGCTTTTTGCAGCTTTTTTGGGGGAGATTCTACCGATATTTCAGTATCATTTGTTTATTTAAGATTTACTTGATATTTTTGTTATGCTATTGTAGGATAAAACAATTTCTCTCGCGTAAATTAAATAATCGATGAAGCCGATTCTCGTTAGGTACAATGCAATTTCGGATAGCTGTTTTCTAAATGTTATATCAATACCGTCAGAATGTTAATTTGCTTGGCTTTCTGCGTGGATATGAAATGAAATGCATCTACAAACATGAATTTTCAAAAAGTTGATTCCTTGTTTCGTATTCCTAATGGCTATTATTATATTTAGAGTTAGCAAGAATAACATACACATGCACCGGATAATCGTTGACTATCTTGGTGAAAAGTTCATCACATAGAGTTAGCAACGTGGGACTACGGCAGTCTATTATACAATTTAAATAACACAGGCAAGTCGAATGAACTGGTAATACATTTGTTAACACTCGCACAAATGTCGCATAGTTCTAGTTTGTAGATTATGCACAATTATCTATACAAGATCCACGTTTTTTGACCAATTATTCATAGACAACTACACTGACATATGCTTGTTTTTTTTAGTTGTCACGGGTACCTAGATATTTACATGTCAACAATAAGGACGGTTCAGTCGGTACGATATCAAGTCTTTGTGTATCCTGTTCAATAATTCGGGCTCTTGCACAGTTATTTAAACCTTTTTCAGACGTTCTATTGAAGAATGACCAGGATTGTACATGAGTTGAATAATAGATCGTAACTTGAAACTGGACAAGACTTCATAATTATATTATTGTATACAATTGTGCACTGTGTGGCTAGGTTCATCTCCTACACTGGTAGTGTTACCATTCACATTGTAATAAGCTCTTCACCTCAGACATTGTTTTTGCACCCTATATTTTATTGATACACTCTGATATACCCAAGTACAAGCATGTCAGTCATCATGATACGAATTTGATACCTGGCGGACCAACACGCCATTAAAGACATAATTATTATAATAAACAGTACACGAATATTGTGATTCAATTTACAGTTGTACTTAGTAACTCTCCCATTTTTCATTGACGTCAAAACATTATCTTACGTAGCTGTGCATGACATACGGTAGAAATATATTTCAAATCAACATCAGATCACATCGACAGTACCATCAAAACATCAATATCATGCTTGTTTTCTTGTAAGAATGTACTTATCATCTGGTAAACTGTTATTTGCATATTGACCTTGTGTTAAAATCTAATCAACAGATACTACTGTTGGAGTTGTTCTCACAATTTCCACAGGAATATATGCAAATTTTCATAAAAAATTTAACATGACATAGTGTAAAAACCCTTTATTTTGTACAAATTAGTATTTTTAGTGTAATATCATGTTTCCTGTTTTCTGTAATTCGACAGAACGAACTTTATTTAACGTTTGAACAAGTAGTGGAATCCATCACCAACGTTTGATTTTTACTATAAAGTACATCTTTCTTTCTTCCCATGAAACTTTGAGGTTCTACATTGTGAAGCTGTACATTATTACTTAATTAGGGGTTAAACCCAAATATAGATTTAAACAAAGAATACATTGGCCATTGCCTACTGTGCCAGTAAATTAACATTTTTATACTTTTTGAGCGTGCTCAACAATTTTCTTGCTTGCTTTACATAAAATGTTCTTGTATAATTTAGATTTACCTCGAGATATGTTAATTAATATATACTATGTCAATGCTATCCCCGTATAGAGCAAACGAGTGGTTTGACATTTAACAATATATACCGCATTAAGAGCTTTTTGCAGCTTTTTTGGGGGAGATTCTACCGATATTTCAGTATCATTTGTTTATTTAAGATTTACTTGATATTTTTGTTATGCTATTGTAGGATAAAACTATTTCTCTCGCGTAAATTAAATAATCGATGAAGCCGATTCTCGTTAGGTACAATGCAATTTCGGATAGCTGTTTTCTAAATGTTATATCAATACCGTCAGAATGTTAATTTGCTTGGCTTTCTGCGTGGATATGAAATGAAATGCATCTACAAACATGAATTTTCAAAAAGTTGATTCCTTGTTTCGTATTCCTAATGGCTATTTTGTCCGACAACGTTATTGATTCTGCTGGTGGACGGTTGGTCCCCGTGGTTTGCAAAATTAAAAACATGTACCAGGCCGTCATCTTGTCTATGCAAAGTTACAGTGGTAATACACATTTATAATTCTTTTTAGACTTAAGAAGAATTTAAATATCAATGTTTAAATCAATATACACTTAATTATTACAAGTATTTTTGTCTTTCCCATTAATTGAAAAATTATTAACGACTGTTACATACATGTAGTTTTATAAATTTAACTCTAAACAAGTTAATCACAAGACAATGTAATCTCTTGTGCTCCTCATGTGAGATATTTTCTTGATATTGGTAATAAAATCATTTTAGTAAACTCTGGTTTCTTTTATTTTCCATTCATGAAATAGCAACTATTTTAACACATTCGATTCATGTGACTTTAAACTATGTTTCACGAGCTACTATCCATCAAGTAAAGACCCAGGGACTTTTGGTTATAAAAAAACACAATGTAATGAAGAAGTGTAAAGGAAGAATGAAATTTCTTTTTATTAAAGATCTGATGACAATTTCACAGGTTATACTTTTTAGATATAGTTGCTAGCGAGGTTGTAAGCAAGCATGAACAATAGATTCGTTTTAGAAGTATGCAAATAAACGTGTCGAAAATGAGGATTTTCTCATCAGGGTAGCAGTTCTTATGAAGAGTTCAATATAGGAATACCATTGCTTTGAAATTCTTCGGGTAGTGAAGTAAAGTAAATTGTTTTATTTCCATTTTTAATACAAAACAAAGATATACAGTCGAACCTCGTTATCTCGAACTCGTATAACTCGAAGACCCCGTTTAACTCGAAGCATTTCATCGGTCCCGGCCAAAACTCTTCTTAATCTTAGTAATAAAAACTCTGATAATTCGAACTCTGAAAACTCGAAAAACTCGGATATCCCTAAGTGAAACATAGGTCCCAACAACGTAAATCCTGCATAAAAATATAAAAATATCTCCTACCTCAAAGTTTCTTAAGATTCACAAGTCTATCATATATTCTTTAATTATTTGATACATATTTGATACATATTAGACGCAGTGCTACGGTTAACATCGTTCTAATTGAGCAGCTTACGCTCGGTCATAATAACTTCATTTTAACTTATGGCATTAAAATGTGCTTGACTGTAAAAACACTTTGTTCAAATAAAGAAACAAACTTCATCAATGTTGATTTACAACAATTAGTACTCACTGCGAGCCCGTAAACAATTTGAATGGCACTTTATTTACACCAAAGCTGCCGACACATTCTAACCGGAAAATGGGTCACAGTTACAAATGTAACGTTTTGTTGCATTTCAATATTTTGATACATTGTAGAATGTTTAAGCAGGGTGATAAGTACAACACCTTGTTATATAATGAGTCTGCTGCATGGCATGTGACCCGGTGTTTTTGTCCTGTCCTGTGGTACTCTGATTGTCATTGATGTTCTAAAATTGCAAAAAATGTGGCTTATTGCTGATTGAAATTGCATATTGTCTCATAATAAAGAATAACGGGTAGCGCGTGATCGTATCTAAAATTAGAATCGTGTATTAGGAAATATTTTATCACATTTTAACACATTGAAACAGGTCAAATACTGAAGACTCTGAGTGTTATAAAATGTTGCAACTAAATATTATTTCTAACTCAGAAGTAAGGTTAAATTTTGTTTTTAAAAGGGCCATGCAATGAGTATACACAAGCTGTCAACTAGTGATAACGTTATTCGTTGCTTTCAGTTATGAAAGGAGTTTAACACTTTAATCAACAATGTTTGATTTATGTATAGTGACTGTGTGTGAGACATGGAGGAGGAGGCGACACCAGGAAGTTCTGGAACAAACCAGGTGCAAAGAGATAGCACGCAAAAGGCACCAGATAAAGACACACAAAAGACGCAGGATGACAGCGAAGAAAAGCCGAAGAAAACAAAAGGTTATGTATCAATGTTTATAATAGATCACTGTATTGAATTATCTGTTTCATGCTCCGTGATCACAGTCTAAATGTGTTATAGCTACATCTAAAATGGCGGTATTACTAGTGAAAGAGAAGTTGTCATTTCACATGCTCAAGTGTGATAGGGCCTATCTAAATGAGACGGGGTTCTTATGATACAGAGGGCGTCATTTTACCGGCACCAAGACACAATAAAGTGGGTAAGTGTTGTAGGGCAAATTAGTAGACGTATTGTTTCGTTCAACAATAATTACATGCTAGTCTACAAGCCGGTAGGAACAAAGAAACATGTTATACATTGAAAAACATGTGCATACCCATGGAGACTATATTTCTTAGTTTTTATTTCACAGGTATCGACCCGACAATTCTTAAAACACTTCTCTCTGAGACAGATAGTCTTTACAGAGGAGGATTCAAAAGACCCAAGGATCGACTGGAATACGTCTGTCAAGACTTTGGACTGCAGTTTAGGAAATCAGACCCCGGTGGAACCGGTTGTTTTTTTACAGCTGTGTGTGATCAGCTCAATCGACTTAACAAATCTCCAAACTCTGCCCCTCGGGAGCAATATTCACCACACTTTCTTCGCAAGGAGCTTGTTAATTTCCTCGTCAGACCTAAAAATAGGGTATATGAGGTAATTTTTAATCGACCAGCAGTGTTTCTGGTGTACGTATATTGCTTTAGGGTTAAGGTGCCATGAACAGTTAATTACTGTCAACTGGTCGAATATATCAATATTCATCAAGTCAAATATATAGAGTTGTTCAATTAGATAGGATAAACTATAGTTTTATTCCAAAGCTTTTTTTCTATCTCGTGTGTTAAAATGATGATCGACCGTAAGATACTCATACAGTTATACCAGAATACCTGTCCATGATTTAATGGGAACATTAGATACAACACACACAAGATCGTGGGGATAATGAGATGATTAATAGGTAGGTAGAATCATACTAGACTCAATCTGATCAAGACTGGGGTGTGATAATACTAGAATCAGTATGATAGAGATTGGGGTGTGATTGTACTGGAATCAGTCTGATCGAAATCGGGGTGTGATTGTACTAGGATTAGTCTGATCGAGATCGGGGTGTCATTATACTAGAATCAGTCTGATAGAGGTCGGGATGTGATTATACTAGAATCAGTTTGATCGAGATCGGGGTGTGATTATACTAGAATCAGTCTGATCGAGATCGAGGTGTGATTATACTAGAATCAGTCTGATCGAGATCGGGGTGTGATTATACTAGAATCAGTCTGATCGAGATCGGGGTGTGATTATACTAGAATCAGTTTGATCGAGATCGGGGTGTGATTATACTAGACGAAGTCTGATTGAGATCGGGTTTTCATTATGCTAGAATTAGTCTGATTGAGATCGGGGTGTGATTATACTAGAATCAGTCTGATTGAGATCGGGGTGTGATAATACTAGAATTAGTCTGATTGAGATCGGGGTGTTTTTGATTATACTAAAATCAGTCTGATCTAGTTCCGGGTGTAATTATACCAGAATCAGTCTGATAGAGACCCGAATGTGATTTTACTAGAATAATTATACTAGAATTAGTCTGATCGAGATCGGGATGTGATTATACTGGAATCAGTCTGATCGAGATCGGAATGTGATTTTAATAGAATCAGTCTGATCGAGATCGGGGTGTGACTGTACTAGAATGAGCCTGGTCGAGATCGGGGTGTTGATCTATGCAATTGTTTTAGTAGGACATCAAATGTTGCAAAAACAATAATTAAACCATCTATAGATATGCATGGTATATGGATTGAGTTCCTATTATTGTAGCTATTAATGTGCAAGATAATTGGGATCAGTTCCAGGTTAAACCTTTTATGTTAGATACATGGACGTTTTAGTATCATTTTTAAGTTGAACAGTTTTGTTTATATATGCACGGGTTTGTTTTTAGTTTTAAGTTGCACAGTTTTGTTTCATGGGCGTTTTATAACTATTATCGGTTCTAGATATACAGGTTTGTTTGTATTTCATTGTTGCATGAATCTGAATTGCGATTATTATCATATTTTCTGATACACAGGGAACCAATGGACAAATAAACCTAGAAGATAACCTTGGTGAAGGGAAAACAATTGAGAATTGGTTAACCAAAATGGGAGAAGAAGATGCGAAAGTAGATCATGTAGCAGTGATAGCCATGGCCATCTTAACACAGCGAAACATCATGCTTATCACTAGCGCACCCGATAGCACTCTGGCCGACCCAAACAATCGAATGACAAAAATACCTGCCATAACAGAAAAGTCCTTTGACATAGCAGACTGCATTCTCCTGGGCTACTACGGGAAATCCCGCTTCGTCAGTCTCGATCAATTTGTTGATCAAATCGGAACCAAAGGTGAGTTTCGAACGCTTTCAATTATTTGTAATTTTGATGTATTTGTCAATCACGTTAAGTCAATTATGACGTCATGAAATTGTTGATTTTTTTTTCTCATTTTGTTATAAATGGCGTGATATTTATCAGCTTATTTATGATCTTGAATGCCCGATATAATTTGTGAGTGTATCATAACGTACGTTATCATTGTCTCTTCATAACACCTGTTTCTAGATATTAAGATACAATGCTATATACTTTCTCTTTTGTTTACCGCAGAAATGTCTAAAAAAATCAGACTGACAGATAAACATAGTGTGGAAGGTAAGTATTTCCTTTATGTCAATTAACTGAATTTCTAATGGTATATCACATTAAACACTAATTCCGTAATGGTATATCACAATAAACACTAATGCCGTAATGGTATATCACAATTAACACTAATGCCGTAATGGTATATCACAATAAACAATAATGCTATATCACATATGTAGGTAGATCAGATATATTGTTATATCAATGGTATTACACTGTACATATGTAGGTGGATCAGACATATTGTTATATCAATGGTATTCCACTGTACATGTGTAGGTGGATCAGACATATTGTTATATCAATGGTATTCCACTGTGCATATATAGGTAGATCAAATATATTGTTATATCAATGGTATTCCACTGTACATGTGTAGGTGGATCAGATATATTGTTATATCAATGGTATTACACTTTACATGTGTAGGTGGATCAGACATATTGTTATATCAATGGTATTCCACTGTACATATGTATGTAGATTAGACATATTGTTATATCAATGGTATTCCACTGTACATGTGTAGGTGGATCAGACATATTGTTATATCAATGGTTTTCCACTGTACATGTGTATGTAGATCAGACATATTGTTATATCAATGGTATTACACTGTGCATATATAGGTAGATCAAATATATTGTTATATCAATGGTATTCCACTGTACATGTGTAGGTGTATTAGATATATTGTTATATCAATGGTATTACACTGTACATATATAGGTAGATTAGACATATTGTTATATCAATGGTATTCCACTGTACATATATCGATGGTATTACACTGTACATATGTAGGTATATCAGACATATTGTTATATCAATGGTATTCCAATGTACATATGTAGGTAGATTAGATATATTGTTATATCAATGGTATTCCACTGTGCATATGTAGGTAGAATATATATTGCTATATCAATGGTATTCCACTGTACATATATAGGTAGATCAGATATATTGTTATATCAATGGTATTCCGCTGTACATGTGTAGGTGGATCAGACATATTGTTATATCGATGGTATTACACTGTACATGTGTAGGTAGATCAGACATATTGTTATATCAATGGTATTCCACTGTACATATGTAGGTAGATTAGATATATTGTTATATCAATGGTATTCCACTGTACATATGTAGGTAGAATATATATTGCTATATCAATGGTATTACACTGTACATATATAGGTAGATCAGATATATTGTTATATCAATGGTATTCCACTGTACATGTGTAGGTGGATCAGACATATTGTTATATCGATGGTATTACACTGTACATGTGTAGGTAGATCAGACATATTGTTATATCAATGGTATTCCACTGTACATATGTAGGTAGATTAGATATATTGTTATATCAATGGTATTCCACTGTACATATGTAGGTAGAATATATATTGCTATATCAATGGTATTACACTGTACATATATAGGTAGATCAGATATATTGTTATATCAATGGTATTCCACTGTACATGTGTAGGTGGATCAGACATATTGTTATATCGATGGTATTACACTGTACATGTGTAGGTAGATCAGACATATTGTTATATCAATGGTATTCCACTGTACATATGTAGGTAGATTAGATATATTGTTATATCAATGGTATTCCACTGTACATATGTAGGTAGAATATATATTGCTATATCAATGGTATTACACTGTACATATATAGGTAGATCAGATATATTGTTATATCAATGGTATTCCACTGTACATGTGTAGGTGGATCAGACATATTGTTATATCGATGGTATTACACTGTACATGTGTAGGTCGATCAGACATATTGTTATATCAATGGTATTCCCCTGTACATATATAGGTAGATTATATATTGTTGGAACAATGGTATTACACTGTACATATGTATGTGTATTAGCTATATTGTTATATCAATGGTATTACACTGTACATATATAGGTATATTACATATTGTTATATCAATGGTATTCCACTGTACATAGTAGGTAGATTAGACATATTGTTGTATTGTATTAAGTCTTCTTCTGTTTTTATACTTCCCTTGTACTTCATCAGAAGTATAGTACTCAATGGTAATATAGTTGGCAGTACACTTATTCAGATTACGCGTAATTGTATATATTTTAAAAGATATATTTCAGTCTACTGTAACTGTGTAAATGTGAAAAATGGAGATTGCTAGAATTATAAATAATCTATTTTCCATATTAATCATACAAACCAGGATACCAAAAGCTGTACGAGGACAGTGAAAAAATAAATGTTAAAGAAACACTAGCCAGCAGAGAGCCAAACAACACCGTGGCCAAACAACCAACAAAGAAATTCGGTACTATGATAAGGAAAACACAGACGGGTTTGACTTCGGTGATTCAACCTGGTAAGGTGAGGTCACATAAACACTTATCATATTTCCATAGCCGAAAAGATACAGGATAGTGGACTTTTTGTTCCAGATATGACTTACATAAAGATATTGAAATAAGTCTACAATGTGCATGCTGTTTCATAACAATACTATCGCAATTGGTAGCTTTTGTTCCTGCTGCATTACTATTTAACCTTTTATATATCGACGGGCAGTTATAATCATTCACACATTTTTTTGAACTAGTTTTATGTTCTCAAGTTTTCTCTTGAAATAAGCAAGCATTCGTTATGATTTGAACAGCCATACTACATAGACGACGAAATGGAGGCCAAGTCATTTCCGTTTCCCGTCTTCAGATATGAAGCAAATGAAGGAGAGCTTACGGTGAAATGGCAGTGGCACAACGACAAACGCCATGTGGCCACTACTATACAGGTCGCAGGAGTCGAGTTCATTGACCGTGGTGGCGTCACTTGGTGAGTATTCAGCGTCCATATAAGGATTAAACGGCATTGTCCCATGTTAATGCCGTTATGAACGCAAATGGGTTACATGAATATTCCATTAAGTTATTATTGACCTTAATATTGGTATTTACTAATGTTTTTCATATGTGAGTGTCTGTATCGTAAGTGCGAAAGAAGTTACTTGAATAGCCTACCTTCTTTAAAATGCTTGCTTCTAAATGTTGTCTCAAGGTTATTCGATGCGGGAGAAGCTTAATAGCCCTATGGACGCAACTTCATCTGATAATGCTTATGGTGTAACTTGTGAAGGAAATATAAATATATTTATATGTACCGTAGTGCAAAGTATTTCGAAATCTGGAATCCAGAGAAACTATCAAGACTGAGGGTTATTCGAGTATGTATTGAATATATCAAATTCTACATAAACCCGACCTTATGTAACCTATTTACTCAATATTGTACATATTTACAAGATTGATTCAGCAGGGCATACAATATTGATTCAGTAAAGTATACAGTAAGTAATATAGATAGATCCAAAAGCCATTTGGGTTCCTCACCATGGTGTATGATAGCGTATATGTAGTGAAAGTCAAACAAAAGTAAACAAAAACAATATTGATATAGAGTGTTTTATTCCACTTCATTGTGCGATTGCACAACACACCAAAACTACTGCGCGCACGTCGTCTGCACAGCTAAACGATTTAACAATCGATCATCTCCTTGTACGATAATATGCACAAATAGGTGCGATTTTGTAAGATGGTTGATCAGTATTTAGAAAGAAATCTTTTCGAAAGAAACATTTGCCGTATTAATTTTCGATCAGTGTATTTTGCATTGTATCCAATTCTGTAACACATGATGGAACATGGTTACAAAGAATATAAAGAAACTCGATATACCCAAGCCCGAATTAGAATTGAGTATAATATAGTCACATATACAAAGTCAATTAGATTGGTTTGTATTAATTAATGAAATCAATTTATGCTTCAGGTGTCCCAGCAAAATCGTGCATAATGAAAAAGTTGTCAACTGCAAACAGTGTGTATGGGTTCATAATAGGATTGACAAAAAGGAGTCTCAAGTGATCGATTGCTTAATACCGTGTGAGGAATACAGGTAATGCCACATGCATGCTACACACACTTTACACCATTTGTCTCATACAGGTTACATTAAACCTTACACCATTGGTCACATACTGGTTACATACACTTTACACCATTGGTCACAAACAATGTACAGGCTACATTCCCTTTACACTATTGGTCACATACATGTTACATACACTTTACACCATTGGCCACATACATGCTACATTCACTTTACACCATTTGTTACATACAGGTTACATACACTTTACACCATTGGTCACATACAGGATGCATACACTTTACAACATTGGTCACATACAGGCTACATTCACTTTACACCATTGGTCACATACAGGTAACATACACTTTACACCATTGGTCACATACAGGTGACATACACTTTACACCATTGGTCACATACAGAATACATACACTTTACAACATTGGTCACATACAGGCTACATTCACTTAACACCATTGGTAACATACAGGTTACATACACTTTACACCATTGGTCACATCCATGCTACATTCACTTTTCACCATTTGTCACATACAGGTTACATACACTTTACACCATTGGTCACATACAGGATGCATACACTTTACAACATTGGTCACATACAGGCTAAATACACTTACATCATTGGTCACATATAAGTTACATACACTTAACACCATTTGCCACATACAGGTTACACACAATTTACACCATTGGTCACATGCAGGTTACACACACATTACACAGTTGGTCACATACAGGTCACATTCACTTTATACCATTGGTCACATAAAAGCTACATACACTTTACACCATTGGTCACATACAGGTTACACACAATTTACACCATTGGTTACATACAGGTTACATTCACTTTATACCATTGGTCACATAAAAGCTACATACACTTTACACCATTGGTCACATACAGGTTACACACAATTTACACCATTGGTCACATACAGGCTATATACACTTTACATCATTGGTCACATACAGGCTACATACACTTTACACCTTGGTCACATACATGTTAAACACTTTACACCATTGGTAACATACAGGCTACACACACTTACATCATTGGTCACATACAGGGTACACACACTTAACACCATTGGTCACATACAGGTAATATATACTTTACACCATTGGTCACATACGGGCTACACACACACATTTCCCATACAGTATTTTCACACTTAAAGTACATGAAGAACGCTCACGAATTTGCTTTAACGTCTTTATTTTATCACTTATTGTTTAGGCCATCATCTACTTAAAAATACAAAATACATACATATAAAACTTACTCGCATTTTATATTTTGCATTAACTAAAATAGTATTTCCCTGCCCTGAGGGTGTGACAGAGAAATCTCCAACCCGAGGGGTGATGTTTTTGGTTGTCTAACCTGAGGCTCTGCCGAGGGTAAGACAACCAACAAACCAACCTGAGGGTTGGAGATTACTCTGTTACACCCTCAAGGTAGGGGATGATTATTTATTCCCATCCTCTTATTTCAGTCACAGCTCCACCGAGAGTAGTCTGCCATGTTTGTAAACAAAAACACATGTGGGATATGCATATCGTCATTCACTTTTGATGTCATCACAAGTACCGATGACGCATTATAATGACGTCACAATTGAACACGTGCTAATCGGCACGAGGCTATCTCCCCCTAGGGGGTAACAAGCTGATCTTTCCCGACTAAAACGGGAGACACGCCTGTGAAGGGTGGGAGAAAATATAATCCAACAACATTCAACTTCCATGCATTGCAATTTCATTGTTTAAGAGAGAAATTGGTGTGGAGAAAAGAGAGGAAAGAGAAAAAAGGGAACAATAGGGGCAAAACAGAAGAATAAAGATGAAAGAAAGACAGGCAGACAAAACAGACTGACAGAGATAGAAGGAGACCGAAAGACAGACAATGTCCTACTTCCCGAGTACTGATAGCTAACATGAGCATGGAGCAAACAGTACTGTATATAAGCTATATATCGTACGATAACACAAAGACAACTAATAACCGGGACGAGTTCGACTAGTTTTAGCCACTTTTGCCATTCATTTACAAATATATTTCGACATTGTTTTCCTTTTCTATAAGCAATGTATTCCTGAGTTTAACAAAAAAATAACAAACACGCATTGTATGGATGATGACAATGGCGTTGAGGATGATGATGATGGCTATGAGGAACGATAGTTTGAAAATTTAGGATCAGGATGCTGATGAGATAATGATGTTGATGTTGATGATGATGATGATTGTGAGGATGATGATGATGATGATGATGATGATGGTGATGATGATGGTTGTGATGATGATGATGATGATGATGATGATGATGGTGATGATGGTGATTGTGATGATGATGATGATGATGATGATGATGATGTTGATGATTCTGAGAATGAGGAAGATGATAATGGTGATGATGATGATGATGAATGTGAGGATGATGATGATCTCGGTGGGGGTAAAGCGATAGAAAGGTGATTTAGCTGCAAAATTGATAAATATTTATTTATATTAATTTTGACAAAAGGAGTAAGCTTCCTTTTACTCTAGCCCTCAATGATTTTCTGTCTTTGACAATTGGTCATTTCCAGATTTGCTTCGTTTTTATGCACATGGAAAACTTGTCTTTCAATTTCAACAGATTTTAATGACTTTATATATGTCAATTGGATTGGACATCAGGCTAGGCCTATTTAAGTCCTTGCCAAACTTATTTACAAATATTACATATATTCTGTCATAACAATCCAATTAAACAGTGCAGGGTCGATAACTCAAATTTAGCTTGTGAAATGAACATTTTCAACTATTATTCAATCATTTTCTGTTTATGTTTTGGATATTAACAATTAGATAAATGATGTATATTTGTTGACAACCAATCCTACATAAAAATCCAAGGGATACAGGCCAAAAGGCCCTGTGTATAAACACATTGGCCATCCACACACTGAATATATAGGATAAGTTACCAAGAAATACACTTATCGTTGTCTAAACTGTTTCAGGATCTTTCTTGTGGACCATTTCCGAACTACCATGTACACGGACACTATAGAAAGGACAACATCTGATATGATGTATTACACGCCAGCGCCTGATCCCCTAGAGCTCACAGTTATCGACAGTTTCATTAATGAAGAGGTAGGTTCGAGGTTTATCTGCTACTTAAACTGACTTGTTTTGAAAGGCGATATTTTTTACGAATAAATACTATTATGTTTTTATGTTGTTGTAGTGCCCATAATATAATAATAATATTAGTTTATTATTTGATAACATCAGACCAAGATGGAGGGAAGAGTCTCATGGACCACTTGGTATATTTATTTAAGGGGAAAATAGCAGCAACAGGAAATAACCAATCACTATGTCTTAACAACGAGAAGCTATTTACGAAGCACTACTGTACTTGCTTTTTATTTAAAATACACTAACTCGTAATAACGTGATAATTAAGGCTGTACCTAGAAGATGTATCACATGACAACACGTTCCCGTCACCTTCGTCATGATTTAAAACACATTTATTTGCGTTCTTTATGAATTTATGCCACTTTAACAGGTTGAGTTTAACAAGTCATAACTTCCACTATACCAGGTACTTGTAAATCATTGTAGGTCATGATACAATGGACGCTTAAAAATAAGAGATCTTTGGCATACATAGATTCTGTGGAGCTCTGCATTCAAAACGGAATAACCAAGCAAACTTGTGTCCCCCCACAAAGGAATGACACACTCCAAAAATGCTTCGTTCTCAAAGAAATTAAAGGTAAGATTGCGTAAGAAAATTCCTCAAATTTCACGTTGTATAATCATATAATAATTCTGAACAACACCTACTTATTTGTATAAGTGTACTGTGTCAGTTGAACAAATGTGTCGTTTATACCTTCATCGACGGCCCTCTCAATCGGTTACTTGATGTCTGATATAAACTTGTTTCAAATATGTCTGTATAGAGACCATCTTTGTTTACATTGCAATGTTTGACATACCATTACAGAGAACATTAAAGTCAATGTCAAAGTGAAGGCTGGTCAACTGTCAGACGAAGTGGAACTAGTCATTATGCATTCTCCGAAGGCGAGGCGTCCTCAACTCGACCGATATGGATACTGGACGGGACATACAGAAAAGAATTTTGAATATAGGTAAATAACATTCATCATCTTGCAAACGATTTTTTTTTATAACATATGATATTTCTTGCTTACTGAAGACCGTTTTCATAAAATTCAGAATAAAATGGTGTTTTTTTTTTTTTTTGTTATGATGCCTAACGCCATAAGGTTTTAATCACCTGAGTAACTCGCTGAACAGTTGCAATTGCGATTCGGCTGCAGTCTTTTTTCGTCTGTCATGCTTAAACTATTATATTATTTTTTTATGGCTGACCCCCAGGGAGCTGAGGGGCGGGGCCATAGGGGTTGAGTGCAAAACTTCAAATTACATCTCCTCTCTGCTAACAATTACATGATATCTCTTCTGAATCTCACCAGTGGATTATCACTGTATGGCCGCAAAGAAGTCTTAGAAGTGGGCAAAACGTGTGCAAACACATATCGGAATCTTTGTTAACGTTGGTAGGTAAGGCGGTCATCATTTATTATTTCTTTATGAGTAAACTTGTTCTTTATTTTACAGTATCGGTAATATTTATTATGAAAAACTCCCATGGAAGCGTGTGGCATCGAAAGCAAAGAACATGGAAACAGATATACGAATTGCGGTAGGGGATTTCATTAGATATGCTATTATCAACGTTGATAACTATACATAAACTGTAGAATACAATTAACAAGATTGACAGATGCCATCGTGGTATGGAAAAATACTCCTATGGAGCACATTGATATTTTCTTTTCGTGTCTTATTGATTCCTGTGGCCTTTAACTTTGAGTTTCTATTTTACTTGTTGGAATGATGCCTTATCGGAGATGTAGCCGTTCATCTATAATTTATTGTCACTGTGTATTATAACCTTATGTTACCTTACGTTATAGGCTGTTATACGAATGCACAAATTACGATGTGGTGCATTGGCTTGTCAGCTTGAAAGTCAACAACAGATCACGGAGCAACCGTCGCCATTGTCACCACAGCAACGATCACAATCGCCACCTCTAGAAGTGCAGGTACATTTGTAAGACATGACATTTCATAGAGACCTGTTTATGTTCCCTAGTAAAGTCCTATTGACCTGGTGACTATTAATGTTAATTTAATAAAGAATGCAGCTGTTACGAATTAAGTGTATAATTATATATATATATATTAAAATACAAACTAATACAAAATATGATCTATTTCAATTAAAGGTCAATTATCAGCTTGAAAGTCAACGAAAGACAACGGTGCAACCATCGCCGTCGTCACCACAGCAACGCTCACAACCGCCACCTCTAGAAGTGCAGGTACATTTGTTAGACATGACATTTCATAGAGACCTGTTTATATCCCTAGTAAAGTCCTATTGACCTGGTGACTATTAATGTTAATTTAATAAAGAATGCAGCTGTTACGAATTAAGTGTATAATTATATATATATATATTAAAATACAAACTAATACAAAATATGATCTATTTCAATTAAAGGTCAATTATCAGCTTGAAAGTCAACGAAAGACAACGGTGCAACCATCGCCGTCGTCACCACAGCAACGCTCACAACCGCCACCTCTAGAAGTGCAGGTACATTTGTTAGACATGACATTTCATAGAGACCTGTTTATTTTCCCTAGTGAAGTCCTATTGACCTGGTGACTATTAATTTTTATTTTAATAAAGAACTTAGTTTAAATATATATTTTTTGAAATACAATCTAATGCAAAAATGATCTATTTCAACTAAAGGTCAAATTTCGAAATTATGTTTAAAAATATTTGTTACAAAAATATATATGGTACCATCGTTAAAAATGACAATGTTCGATCACTGTATGTAAATATAAATTGTATCATGCTATGCTCGTTGAAATTATTTGAAACAATAAATATTTACATGAATTAATAATGAACATTATTATACCTACAACTTACTTTTTAAGTAGACATTTGAAAGAACGAAATACCTAAAAAAAATATGATATCGTAGTTTTTCACATTCAGTTGTTATTCAATTATATTCGTATTCTCCGTAGTTCCTCTGTTTGAACAAGCTTAGTTGAACTATTGTTTAACACAAGCTTTAATGTCGGGTGTGTTGACACCACTTAACAGCAACTGACAGATTTAAGCAAAATGTTGGATTTACAAATATTGCATGATCTGTAACAAGTAAAGGAAGACAGACAATTAAGGGACTTTGTTTTTTTTTGCTCTGGAAGGTAATAAGCCGTACAAACAAACGGCACATTCAAAGCGCATACTTACCGCTACATGGAATATTCATTAACAATCGGACGGGAAAAAATGTCGAATTTGTAAGCTAGCTTACCCTAGTGAACTTGGTCAATATTCTGGAAGCCACGTTGTTGGTAACGCTCTTCCGTCAGTGAATTGAGAAGGTGTACTTTTCATTCGCTCACCAATTGTTTCTTTGAAATATGTTTCTCGAGAAAGGCACGTGTTGTAAAGTCTGGGTAGATTGATATAATATTCGTAATTCTAGCTTCCCTTGCATTTCCTTATCTTTCTTGTACCATGACAGTAAGTGGTTTTTTTTATAAGATACGGATGATATCAAATCTGCGATAGATTTATGCGTCAGTATTAAGCAGCATACCCACCTCGTTAATCACCGCCTCGTTTCTTACCAAAAAAGGACATGTCAATGCAAGCATATTAGGCCGTGGTATTTTTGACAAATTTAGATACGAATTTGTTCAATTGATGGATAATCATCATGTGCACTCACCAAAATGGATTAACGAGACTTACGTTCAATCGAAGTGTCAAATCAAAACCGCAAATCAAACATTACGCATGCCCGAATACCAATGTCGTATACATTTTACACAAGATGTGATAGCGTTTAATAAATGTTACTGGTTAGCACATTTAATAATGATGCTACTTTTAATTTCATTTTGATATAGTGCAATTATTTTTTATCACATTATAAAATTGTGTTACTGATTTATTTCTTTATAACATGTTGTAATTATCATTACATTGTAACATGTTGTTACTGTAATTTTTACGTTATTACATAATGTTACTATTAATTACATAGTGTTATTATTGATTACATTATAACATGATGTTTTTCTTCATTACATTGTCTCGTCTGAACACAGACTGAACACGCCTACGAATCTGATGGGTAAGTATTCCATAAAGAATACTCTACATGATGTAACTACAGCTTTAATTATACAATTCCGATAATTTCCCGCTTGTAGGCCAAGCTACATATAAAAATAAAGCACACCAGTATTTCGTAAATTTATCAAAAAATACTGTAACAAATGTAGTGTTTATTGATTGCTTAACTTAGACAAATGCTGTTAATTTTGTTTTACTTTAAAATGAAATCAGAATGTATTTGTCTTTATATGTGTATCTGCCACAACTGATTATCTGCTAAAATTGTTCAGTCAAAAATAAAAATAAAAAAATTCGTACAGTCATTAAGTACAGCGTATTCTATTCAGAAGTATATATGTCTGCGTAAAACATGATATGTATTCTAGTCAGACGAATAAAAAGTGACGTATTAACGCCAAAAAACAATGTATTTTTTAATAGCTATGTGCTACGTATTTGAGTACATTAACATGTTTAGTGATAAAACTAACAGTTAATCTCCATTACTAAAGTGATTTGCTTTATTAAGAACCATAGACTGTCATACAAGACATAAATCAACAATATTTATTTTGATTTAACGATAATGAGGTTTAAACATTTTACCCTAAATTTATGATGACAAGTATTTAATTTCTGGATTTCTATACGCCCGTCGAAGACGGGGACGTATTATGTTATCACGTGAGCGGGCGGGCGGGCATGCGAACGATGTCCGGTCGATATCTCGAGCAATTATTAACGGATTAACTTCAAACTTCACAACAAGGTTAATTACCATGAAACCTCGGACAAGTTCGATAACCGCCATTATCCGACCGTAATTATTGGAGTTATTCCCCTTGGTTTCATTAATGCGATGCATGCGTTCGATGATGTTGTATTGCACTCATTGATCTACCAGTTATGTTGAATGATTTCTCTTTTAATATCAATTACTCACAAATACTTCATATATTTCAATCATACAAACAACTGCTCATTCAATGTGTGACGGGCGTATTATATACCGCTTCCTTGTTCTCTCTGTTTTACAGTCGTCATTCTGCTATGCCTGGAGAACATCACTTTCGTATACCATTGAGCTGCCGTATTGATGACAACAGTGTCCTCATAGGCAATGGTGATGGGAATATGGTAATTACAAATAGCATATGTTGTTTGACATATAGTACGTATGAAATTTAACATTGCTGATGGATACACGGCTATTATAGAAAAAAAAAACATTTATGATGAAAAATGGTTACACTCGCCTCTATTCTGATCACATGACCTCTTCACAATAGATTCTCATCATTCAGTTTTAATCACCTAATGCATCGTATCCTTGTTACCTTTTATTACACTACAATGTTAGTGCAGAGTACTGTTTCCACCTTTTCAACTTGATACGGTTGAAAAATATATCATTTTGTGTGACAAAGACAATTTATCTAATTCCTCAGAGATACGATTTTTGAGGGTCAGCTCTGGACATGCTCAAAATCTTACCCTCAGGATAAATTTGTGTTGTTTTCACCACAAAGGAAACTTTTGATACATGTAATATTACAGTGGTTATTCATTGTACAAAAATATCACCCATGGCCACCGTATGCTACTGTACACTGCTACCAAAGGAGTGGTAGATTCTGTTGATATTATAACAGCACTCTCAGTGACCTAAACTTGGGAACTTCAAATTAAATGACGACGTTTGGTTTTTATGTCACAATCGATAGTCCGTTAAATGTCACTTAAACTGTGATTAATTAAGAGTGATTACATAACCTTGGATGTCTTGCTTTCTTTTTTAAATTTAAGTTATACATGTGGTTAGTTAAAGCCGTGGTAAATTATACTTGTGATTAGTTATACCTATGATAAGTTATACCCGTGGAAAGTTATATTTGTGGTATATCATTATGTCCTTCCAATTATGGCAGCAGTTTAAGTACAATTTATTCAGAATGTAGGCGTTATGATGGAGCTTCTAAAATCGCGCTCCCCAGCTGACAAACGAAAAAAATGGACGTTTTCCTATGTTTTTAAGTTGTAAAACACTAGGTAGCCATTAAGGAACGGAGCAAATAATTCTAACTTCCAGGCAAACAATGCTTTTCATCTGCCTCTGTTACAACTACAATGTAGAACAGATCAGAAAATGAAAGAATTTCTCCTGAACAATCGTACAACAATTCGTAGATGTTTAACCTGCTTAAAGTGATTTTGCATAATTGTAAGGCAGAGAGAATACCACAACTCTTAAACTTAAACATTTACTATCTCATACAATGCCGTTTCCTTTCCTGTAAAGGTAGCAGATCTTACCAAAGAAGAGAACAGAGATCAAGAAAAGGAAAACTGTCAAAGAGAGAAGTTTAGGCAAAGGGAAGACGAAAGAAAGGAAGAGAAAAATCTAAAGGAAGAGGAAAAGCTCAGAAAAGAGGACGAAACAAGGATAAAAGAAAAAGAAAAGCGAAGGGAAAAAGAGGAAAAACATATAGAAGAGGAAGAAAAGCGAATGGAAAGAGAGGAAAAACGAATAGAAGAGGAGAAAATTCGTAAGGAAGCGGAAAAAAAACGTAGAGAAGAGGAGGAAAAACGTATAGAAAAGGAGGAAAAGCGTAAGAAAAAGGAGAAAAAACGAATAGAAGAGGAGAAAAGGCGTAAGGAAGAGGAGAAAAAACGCAGAGAAGAGGAAGAAAAGCGTAGAGAAGAGGAAGAAAAGCGCAAGGGAAAGGTAAGCTCTTTGGTCAGGAATTAACGGTGAGTAGGAATAAAAAGGGGCCTCCTTTCTCCGGAACTAACAGTAGGTATCACAGTGGTCTTCTGTCTCTGGAACCTACAGTTGGTAAAAGCATAACATAGGTAGCAGTGTACAGTAGCGTACGGTGACCATGGGTGAAAAGTTTATACAATGAATAAATCCTGTAATATTACATGTATCAAAAAAAAAAAAAAAAAAAAAAAAAAAGAAAAAAAATTGGCATATACATGATGAAGGGGACTATGTGGGCTTCATAATTTAAAAAAAAATCGAATTTGGTTTGAGACCACAGTTTTTGGGCATTTACAAATCTGTGTCAGCACAGCAAAAGCTAGCTTTTCATGAAGTCTATTTTTGTACTCAGCACATGTGTAAATATTGTGAAAAATCGACCGGAATGACCTATGCTATAACGTGAGCATTTCTGTTACCGAGTAGGCGATATTTAATTTAAGACAGGTTTTAAGAAAAAAATATCAACTTTCGGGAGTCAAATTTTGGGTTAAATATCAAGATGTTTGGCAGTCTTCTAACCAAAATGTATTCAAAATGTAGTTTATAAATATATATATATATATATGTAGGTGTGTTGTGCAGGTTGAATCCACTATCCATGTTTATCTGAGACATACCCTTTATTTTTAGGATCAGGCCATTTCTACTGTACTCTGCTACCTTATACACTTTGAAATTCATTTTTTCTGAAAAAAAAAAGCCTTTTTATGCTTGATTCAGCTTCACTTTCATTCATTATTGCTCAAAACTACACAAAAACCTTTAAAAAGTTACATACATAGGTCAATATATAGGTCACATGTTGTATGTATAAAGGGGGGTAACTCGCCCTTTCCACAGGCACTACACAATTCATCATATATGTGTCAATTGTGTAATTGTTAAAGTTGATACTAAAAAAACAAATGATTCGCAGGCTAGTTCATGATGCATTCAGACTAGATTTCAGTCTGTTTCACTCAGTCAGTTCAGCGTCCAGTATCGATGGTTAATAATACACAAAGTTGTATTAATTGAAGATGGGTAAAATATCTGTTTTCATTACTATTTCTCTATTTTATATGTTTTTTCCCCACTTGATTCAGCGTACAGATTAAATAACCAAGGTCAATTATGTCAATAAGTTTTATTTCCATAATTACAGCTGAAGAAAATATATTTTTCTAGTGAAATGTTAAATAAACAATTTCTGAGGGTCACTGTCAATTCTAGGCGAGGAAAATCAACGGTGGCTATATATATGGTGGCACTTGTCTGATGTTTCAGAATATCTGACATTTTTGTGCTGTTCATCGGTTACGGGAAGTGTGTCTGTTGCTAGTTTGTTGTTGTGAAAGGGCGTCCTGGTGTTCATTTTGATATCACTGAGACTTGATGATGTCATAGATGCTCATTGATGACGTCATGATTATGATGACATCACAGTTACTATGACGTTAGCAAACAAGACAGAAACATCATAGTATCACTTTACTGTTTTGCTTTTTTCACATGCACATGATCTCACAGCAACATATTTCAGCCAATATGAATTTTTATTCATAAAAAGTACAAACCTTTATTTTTTAGATTACCTCCCTTTGTTGGTAGTTTGAGAGCAGAATTGGTAAAAATTCATCTGTCAGGAAAATTCATATCACTCGGTCATTATTAAAGCGAGAAAGGAAAAGGATACATCTTTTTGTTCATTGTGTCATTTTCCAGACATCTAAAAGGTTTTAATTAAGTTTTGGGAAATAAAAAAATGATGTATAAGGTAGCAGTGTACAGTAGCGTTCGGTGGCCATGGGTGATATTTTTATGCATTGAATAACCCCTGTAATATTACATGTATCAAAATGAAGAAAAACAAACCCAGCACTAAAATTGGCATACAAATGATGAAGTTGACTATAAAAAATCTATTTTGGTTTGAGACCACAGTTTTGGGCATTTACAAATCTGTGTCTACACAACAAAAAGCTAGCTTTTCATGTAGTCTATTTTTGTACTTAGCACATGTGTAAATATTGTTAAAAATCGACCGGAATGACCTATGCTACAACATAAGTATTTATGTTACCGATTAGGCGATATTTAATTATGACAGGTTTTAAGAAGAAAAAAAAAATCTTCTTGCGGGGGTCAAATTTTGGGTTAAAAATCAAGATTTTTGCATTTTTGGAGTTTTTCGATGTGGTAACCATGGGTTTTACAATTCCAAAATCTGGGGAAAACAGTATTTGAAAAACATTCAGTCTTCTAAACAAAATGTTTTCAAAGTGTAGTTTATAAATATATATATGTAGGTGTGTTGTGCAGGTTGAATAAACTATCCATGTTTATATGAGACATGCCCTTTATTTTTAGGATTAGGCCATTTCTACTGTACTCTGCTACCATAGGCCTCCTGTCCAATACTAACAGTGAGTAAGCAACATAAGAGTGGCCTCCGGTATCCGGAACTAACATTGGGTAAAACATAATAGTGGCCTTTTATCAACGGAACTAGCATTGGGTAAGGGCATAATAGTGGCCTACTGTCTGCGGAACTAACCATGTGTAAGGGCATACCAGCAGCCTCCTGTCTCGGGAACATACATTGGGTAAGGTTGTAACAGTGATTCCCTGTCTCCGAAACTAGCAGTGGGTAAGGGCATAACAATGGCTTCCTGTCTCAGACACTAACAGTGGGTAAGGACATAACAGTGGGCTTTCCTTATAGATGGTATTAACACAACGGAATCTTCCTCTCTCCTGAACAAACGGTAAGTAGAAACATAACGATGAGTTCCTGTTTACTGAACAAACGGAAGGTAGCGAGATAACTGAGATCTCTTGTCACCTTCACATAGTTATGTAGAAGCATACCTGTACCTAAGAGCTTCTGTCTCCTGAACAAACGGAAGGCATTAATATTACGTTTATTTTGTCTCCTGAGGAAGCGGTAAGCTCCTATCTGCTGAACAAACGATGCCTAGCAACATAACGATGATCCTTTCTGTCTCCTGAACAAACGGTAAGTAGGAACATAACGGTGACCTTCTGTCTCCTGAACGACCAGAAGGTAGGAAGATAACAGAGAGCTTCTGTCTCCAGAACAACCGGAAGGTAGATGCATAACACAAAAAGTATGAATTCCTGTCTTCGGAGTGAACGCCGGGGTGGAATAAAAAATGTAAACGGCGTTTATGGAACTTACTGTGAGTAGTTATGTGGACTCTATTATTCTATTTATATTGTACTGATTTACACTTAAAACATAAATGATTGATGAGCTATATTTATATTGTACTGATTTACACTTAAAACATAAATGATTGATGAGTTATATTTTAGAGTTTTTGAATTACTGTTTAAAGAAGTTGATGTTATTCTTAAAGAGTTTATTTGACTCCTTTTCTTTCAGTATCATCCTCCCAAACATACATCGATTGAGTCTAGAACCAGCCGGAAAGCACGAGGCTATTTCCGAATCCTATGGAGACGTCCACTACAGGCTAATCTAGGGTTAATGTACCTATCTCCATATGATGCAAGCTAACTGATCTCAGACGTTATCACGACACATACAGTGTGATTTGATTAAGGACAATATATACCCTGTCAGTCTATATGTCGTTAAGGACAATATATACCCTGTCCGTCTATATATCGTTAAGGACAATATATACCCTGTCCGTCTATATGTCGTTAAGGACAATATATACCCTGTCCGTTTATATGTCGTTAAGGACAGTATATACCCTGTCCGTTTATATATCGTTAAGGACACTATATACCCTGTCCGTTTATATATCGTTAAGGACAATATATACCCTGTCCGTTTATTTATCGTTAAGGACAATATATACCCTGTCCGTTTATTTATCGTTAAGGACAATATATACCCTGTCCGTTAATATGTCGTTAAGGACAATATATACCCTGTCCGTTTATATATCGTTAAGGACAATTTATATACCCTGACAGTAAATCTGTGAGTAAGATCAATCTTTACACTTTCAGATTATCTTCAAGTTAGAACAATCTACACCCTCTCAGTTTATCTGTGAGTTAGAACAATCTGTACCATGTCAGTTTATCTGTGATTGAGGTTAATCTATTCCATGTCTGTTTATCTTTGATTTATTACAATAGTTTTACAAAGTTTTTCTGTGATTTAGGAAAATGTATAATTTTTCAGTAAGTTAGTGATTTAGAACAATGTATACGCTATCAGTTACTGTTATGTAGAACACTGTATGATTTGTCTGTCAGTTTATCTGTGATTTAGGACAATCTATATCCCGTAAGTTTATTTCTGATTTAGGACAATCTATATCCCGTCAGTTTATCTGTGATTTAGGACAATCTATATCCCGGCAGTTTATCAGTTATTAAGGACAATGTTTACCCTGTCAGTTTATCAGTGATTAAGGACAATGTGTACCCTGGCAGTGACTGTTAATTAGGACACTGTATAATTTGTCTGTTTGTCTATGATGAAGGACAATGATATACACTGTCAGTTTATCAGTGATAAAGGACAATGTGTACCCTGTCAGTTTATCAGTGATAAAGGACAATATGTACCCTGTCAGTTTATCACTGATTTAGGACAATACATATCCTGTCAGTAAATCTGTGATTTAGGACAATCTATACCATGTCAGTTTATCTATGATTTAGGACAATAATAACTTGTCTGTTTATCTGTGATTTATGTCAATCTTGAATTGTCAGTTCATCGTTGATTGAGGACAATCTATATCCCGTAAGTTTATTTCTGATTTGGAATAATCTATATCCCGTCAGTTTATCTGTGATTTAGGACAATCTATATCCCGTCAGTTTATCAGTTATTAAGGACAATGTTTACCCTGTCAGTTTATCAGTGAT